GGGTAATTTTGATTTCTGTAAAATTGTCACTTTCATGCTGAAAAATGTAAACACTAAAAAAGTTTTCATTGAGCTCAATTAGCTAAATACTGTATGGTAAATCTGTCTCCGTTCGACGACGACGAGGATGTGATTGACACATGTTGCCAAACCTCGTCAAATCCATAATTCTTTGAGTATGAACTGGACAGTGTTGTTGAAGCAGATTTAAAGTAATTGAACACGTTGTATACATGTTTAAACCTTTTGGGGGGTCTTAGAAACCTCACTCGCTTATTGCGTGCCTACATTTCTAGTCTTCATCTCTGTATGCTTCTCTTTCTACATAATGCACAAGTTGTGTGGTACGTGTTTGGGAATAAGTGGACTTTTTTTGAACACTCTTAAATTATGAATACCGTGTCCAACTCCCCCGAGTATGTTTGACGAGGGGTCTCTGTCTGGTACGTGGTTGTAATATCGTGTCCAACTCCGCCGCGTATGTTTTGACGAGGGGTCTGTGTCTGGTACGTGGTTGTAATATCGTGTCCAACACCGCCGCGTATGTTTTGACGAGGGGTCTGTGTCTGGTACGTGGTTGTAATATCGTGTCCAACTCCGCCGCGTATGTTTTGACGAGGGGTCTGTGTCTGGTACGTGGTTGTAATATCGTGTCCAACTCCGCCGCGTATGTTTTGACGAGGGGTCTGTGTCTGGTACGTGGTTGTAATACCGTGTCCAACTCCGCCGCGTATGTTTTGACGAGGGGTCTGTGTCTGGTACGTGGTTGTAATATCGTGTCCAACTCCGCCGCGTATGTTTTGACGAGGGGTCTGTGTCTGGTACGTGGTTGTAATACCGTGTCCAACTCCGCCGCGTATGTTTTGACGAGGGGTCTGTGTCTGGTACGTGGTTGTAATATCGTGTCCAACTCCGCCGCGTATGTTTTGACGAGGGGTCTGTGTCTGGTACGTGGTTGTAATATCGTGTCCAACTCCGCCGCGTATGTTTTGACGAGGGGTCTGTGTCTGGTACGTGGTTGTAATATCGTGTCCAACTCCGCCGCGTATGTTTTGACGAGGGGTCTGTGTCTGGTACGTGGTTATATCGTGTCCAACTCCGCCGCGTATGTTTTGACGAGGGGTCTGTGTCTGGTACGTGGTTGTAATACCGTGTCCAACTCCGCCGCGTATGTTTTGACGAGGGGTCTGTGTCTGGTACGTGGTTGTAATATCGTGTCCAACTCCGCCTTATATGTATTGACAAGTGGCCTGTGTCTGGTATGTGGTTGTAATACCGTGTTCCAACTCCCCGGCGTATATTTTGACGAGGGGCCTCTGTCTGGTATGTGGTTGTAATACCGTGTCCAACTCCGCCACGTATGTTTTGACGAGGGGTCTGTGTCTGTTATGTAGTTGTAGTACCGTGTTCCAACTCCGCCGCGTATGTTTTGACGAGGGGTCTGTGTCTGGTACGTGGTTGTAATACCGTGTCCAACTCCGCCACGTATGTTTTGACGAGGGGCCTCTGTCTGGTACGTGGTTGTAATACCGTGTCCAACTCCGCCACGTATGTTTTGACGAGGGGTCTGTGTCTGGTACGTGGTTGTAATATCGTGTCCAACTCCGCCGCGTATGTTTTGACGAGGGGTCTGTGTCTGGTACGTGGTTGTAATACCGTGTCCAACTCCGCCACGTATGTTTTGACGAGGGGCCTCTGTCTGGTACGTGGTTGTAATACCGTGTTCCAACTCCGCCGCGTATATTTTGACGAGGGGCCTCTGTCTGGTACGTGGTTGTAATACCGTGTCCAACTCCGCCACGTATGTTTTGACGAGTGGTCTGTGTCTGTTATTTGGTTGTAATACCATGTCCAACTCTCATGCGTATGTTTTGACGAGGGGTCTGTGTCTGTTGTGTGATTGTGTGGTGTAGTGCCGCAGCCGGGTTACAACATATCGCCGGATATGGCCAAGGATTACGTCTCACACACCTGTCGCGCCCGTGTCGTGCCTCAGCTCTGTGTAGACAATTAAACTAACTAGAAACTACGAGACTTGCGTGATACACTACCTCGGAGTTGTCTTCATTGGCTGCAGTTGCACACACACCGTGTCATACATTTGGTATTTTAATTGTCGTCGCATTGCGCTTTGTGCAACCCCTTGAAGTTCACATGGTGACGGCTGTTAAGTCTTTAACGTGTGCTTTCATGTTCTCAACTGTATTCTCAATTCTTACTGAATTGTTTCCGCTTGAAGTGAGAATTGTAAACGGAATGTAAAGGCCGTGTTTCCAGCTGCCGAATCCGGTAGCCGAATACTGCTGCAACATTATGAATGTTTTAGTGCATGATTTTGTTTTTTCAGAGTACAGCCGACGAATTTGACATCTACGAAAACAGCTGTTCTATCTTTGTTAAGAGTTTGTGCCGAAAACGTTTCTGTCGCCTAGGATAACCCGTCTGAATGGTCTCCATAATTTTGTGAACCTGAAGCCGACTGATTGATGTGATGTATCATACATGGTTGGTTAGAGTACCCGTACAGTGTTGGGAATTCGGTAGCGTTTGCTCAGTTGTTTATTCAATACTCACGTCCATGTTTACTCGTGGCATTGTTATGGCGGGGACAAGTGCCAATTGAGTGTTACATGAAGTTGTTTGAACATTCGAGTTCAAAACTTGGCAATTGTGTATGTGGATTTGACGCTGTGTTTTGCAATCTGGTATCGTGTCAGAAAACAGTACCATCGTTAAAAGAATTTAACGCCTTTCAGTAAATTCACTTATTTCTTTTTTCCAAAATGTTTATAAACACCTATTGAATATATATGGTTTATTTCCCAAAAAAATTATGTCTGGAAAACGAAAGTAGCCAGTTAATATTTTAAAGTTTTAAGTTTAAGTGTATTACCGCATATGTAATCTTTGGTATTACTAAAAGTTCATCAACATACAGCAGATCTGTGGAATAATAATTATTCTCTTAAGCGTTCTCTTCCCGTTGCGAAACACGGGTATGGTGGCTACTACAGATAAATTCTTATTGGCATTACTATTTACGAGCTAAATTAATAATTCACAACCTTTTATAGTATAGATCGTTTCTTTAATATTTCAAAAGACTATTGATAAGGGACAACAATATTTCGAAGGTTTATAACAGCTGATGTTAGTGTTGCATGATTTATTGTGAGTGAAAATGGAAGGATTTGTGATTTAATTTAAAGAAGATTGACCTAAAAATTTGTTCATTGAAATTTATTAAGTAGTAGTTTTGAAACTTCAAAATTAAAATTTAAGAATGTCAAAAAAAGAAAAAAAATATGTGTAAGTAGTGGAGATGAATGTAAATCATGTATGTGAAAATTTTATTTGAAAAATTGATTTTTGATTTATTTGAAATTGATCAAAGTTTTTCCATTGATAAAACATAACGGGGTTTCTCATATCAGCCTACACAAGATTTAAAATTAATCAAAACCAAAATGGCGGTTTCCACTTCTAACCAGATTTAAAAGCCACAGACGTTTCCATAAAGGTCATAAAGGTTGAATTTTGTTTCTAAAAGGTTTGGCGGATGTGTAACTATTTTATACAACAGATGTAAAAATGTTATAAATATCGAAATGTTTCTATTTCGTGTCCTCTTCCCACTGCAAAGCACGGGTACAACAGCTAGTCTCAAATACAAATTAACAATTATTCCTACCTTGATTATAATTATCCACTAACCTACTGGCAAAGCTAATCGAGTTAAGCAAAATAATTGACACAGCAGCGTAAACCACCGGACACTTTTATATACTGTACTTCTGGTTGAAATTAGTTACACAATAAAATCACAGTATTTTATGCCCATAAAATAACCAAGTGAGGTAAAGTCAAGGCTGCATTAAGAATGAAATGCGTACAAAGGTAGTTCGTACCATACACAAATAAATTACAGTATATGTTTGTCCTTCAGTGGCGGATTATTACGGTGCATGTAGTTTTATATGTAGACTTTATCGCATTGATTTATATCACGATTGTGTTCTTCATTAAAATTTATGCAACATTAAAATTTTAGAATGAAGTTTCCGTCTGTTTAATAACCGATACTAATGGAAATAGGATTCAGTGCTATTATCATTTTTATTTAAATTTTTTACATTTTAATTGATCTTTCCACGAACTGTTCACTGTTCATATTCTGTGCAGTGAACAGATCTCCATTGTTCATAATACAGGAATTAAACATTGATATTGTGAACAAAGTACTCTATACCTGGATACTAACAACCGAGATAATAAATATGAATTCACTTCTTAGATGCCTTTGTATTCCATGCAAGAGGTGTTATAATGTATTTGCACACTTTTATACTGAAGAAATATTTTCAGGTTGATGTTTTATATTGTTAACTATGTTCATAATCTACCCAAATCTAGCGTTCTAAAATTGTAGTTTTGTAGAATCTTGTTTATACCACTTAATTAATAATTATTGTACCTTTTAAACTTACGAAATATAGAGTGGAATACAGTTTCAGTTAATAATAAACCAGGAGTACAGAAATGCGTTTGTTTTAAAAACGTTTCTTTTTTACTGTAAATGTACAATATATGTCCACAATGTAACTCCTTGTCTAAACAATAAATGTGGGAGAATACAGTAATCAACAGTGTACAAATCACAGTTCATAGGCTAAAGAAGAATAGATGAAAAATACCGTTCTTATAGAATTGCTTCGATGAAGATACTCTTACTGTGCTACAGTATTCGACAATGATGAAGGATCAACAGTTGATCCAATAGTTTGCAATCTTGCAAATCATGCAAAGTTTCTAAATAGATTCGAACGGTCGAATAGCTGTGTAAGGTTACACAGGAGAACTAGATCATTGGGGTAAATACTGTAGTCAGACGTCAGAAGGTCCCAAACAACATTGCTTTTCAGGGACTCGCTTTAACTTATATTGAATATATTTGGTTATTGCTGTTGCATTGTATTAAGGTTGGCTATTTTATGTTGCAGATGGGTACTCGTCGCCGGTGGTGGCGGCCCCGCAGAACTCCGGGTTCGCCAACGACCTCCGACTGGTCTCCCTGGAGAAACAGCTCAACATCGAGCTTAAGGTAATAAACATAAATATCTACTTAGCATGGGACATATTTGATATTCATCAGTGTAATTATATTGCATGTTTGTCCCTATGTGACTCTGAAAATATCTTAGGAATACATGGTACCGCAAAATAATATGGAAGTCTCTCTACCACTTAAAATTCTAGCTACTTCTTTATTATAATTTAGGATGATGCAAATTAAAGCCCTTATGTCCCAACTACCTGCTTTTCGACACTATCCCTCGCACACCACTTCCCAAGGATACTTTAAACACTATAGTATTCCAATACACACGTACGCGAGTTGTTGAATGTGAATTGACAATTTAGACCACAAGAACTCTTAAGTAACGTATATTTGCGATGCACGTGCACAATTACTATTTCCTAATATGGAACTAATGACAAAGACTGCTATCCAGCAAGGTCGACTTCTACTTTGGCGAAGACCAATTGTTGTGAGGAAAGCGAATTACGTGAACTATTACAGTATCACTAAACATCAGCTATGTTCCTTTGCACCACACTGGTGTAATCTACTCGAGATTTATTTTTTGTGACTATTTTTATAGGTCCTAAAATTGTCCAATACCGTATGTACGACGAAACGAAAGTATTGCATACAACGTAAGTTGAATTAAAATCTCAGACGTGATAAATAAATAGACTACGTATATGTTTTTGCTTTCAGAGACTAGGTAAAATTTTGTATTTTTTAATGTCCCGGACATATTAATCATTGCCGTTAAACGATTTGAAATGCTAGAATTTTTAGAGACGGCAACAAAGCGGTCGATGTTATTAGGTTGACTTAGGTTTCTAAAGTAGACATCCCATCTATGAGCCAGTTGTAGTCAAGTTTTAAATCATAGTTGAGTTTGAATATGCTGCTGAAGTTCTATTTTTTTTTAACTGTTTAACTGTAGTTGATACGGACAAGAGAAATGCTCTAGTATACAGAAGGTTTCCTACAATTAAGGACGTCAGTAAATAAGAAAGCACACAGCAGTATTTTAAAGCAACACACTGTCAATAGTCCAATTAAGCTAAGTCCTTTTTCTTGTAAAGCCTGGCTACAATTCTGAACATGGAAATGAAATGTCTACTGCACGGTATTGTATCCACAGTAAAGGTCTGTTGTTTTATAAATTTTCAATGGACAGACCTTTTCCAACTAGCTGTCAATAAGTCTTCGTTTTCTTGGCTCAGTTTTAGCAAATAACCTATTGCTTTTAGCAGTTTGACAACATTATGACCGGGTGGTTCGGAGCTGTTGGTCCATTGATCTAGAAAAAAATGATACAATAAGTGTTTTTGACAAGAAAACTTTCATTATATACATAGCCTAATTAATTTTTAAGACGATTTTAACGTTTGTGTGCACGAATGGTACGACCGAGGCATCACAGGGCGGCTACCCGGTGGGTGACCGGTACGCGGGCGGCGGAATGGCGGGAACTACGACCGGAAGTGGAAGTGTAGAAGGTAGAACGTGCGGTTCCGGTGACAGGTGCTGCTACTGGCGGCGCTCCCAGCATTTAACTTTTCCTCCCCCTGCCTTGCTCTTGCCACAGCTGAGCTGATGACAGATACCTTGTGATAGGTCACCCTGCGTTCCTTCTCACTTGTTCATATTGAAATACAAACACATTTAGGCTAACTGAACAATTATTCTTAAAATTTGTGTAGGCCTAACTTGTTTGTAAAAATAAAAGGCTTGTTTGTAGGGATTTATTCGTTGTATTGTGCTTTCATCGAAATTCCAACAATATTCAATTATTATTATGAGAGGAAAAGTTTTTCATTCTCAAATGGAACAATTTTGCTTTATTTACACGAAATACAGAAGAACAAGGAATCAAAATCCGAATACTGTATTGCTGCGATACATCAGTTTAGACTAGCCTTTTAGGTACTTTTTTGACTTCACCTTATACCACCGTACTATCATTATATTGGATAAAAACCTATAATATTATGTATTGGTACCACTAATCTTGGCCCTGCTGTGTAATACAAAATATACTTTGATTCATTTGCATTTTCTAAACCATACAGCAAGACTTAAATCAATTCCTTGTATAAAAAATACTTGTTACCCATAGCCTACTGGTTATTGAAAGGTAATACTATAACCTGTTTTACTTTTGTGGCATTGAAAAAAAAACCCTAAAGGTTTTTAACGTAAATTGTGGTTCTAAATTATAAAACAATATAAATGAAATAAAAAAGTTGATTTATTTAGGCAAAGTAACGTGGCACTTTTTTACACTTAATTTAATTTGGAAGGAATTCCGAAAATCAACTCCTTTTTAAAAAATGGTTGTTTGTTAAATTATTTAACATTTTTATTATTATTTTTTTTTAAAGATAACATTTTTCATACATAGACCTATTTTACACCCATACCCCTAATGATGTGTGAAAATTGCACTCATGTGTAAATTACTTACAACTTTCCTGACTGTCCAGTGTAACTATGTAATTACATTGACCCTGGATCTGACTGGCAAGGATGCTGAAGGACAAGGATATTGGAGGTTTAAGCAAAATACATTTGGAAACACACTTAGAAAACATTACTGTACCAATCTTTTTGGCTTCATTTATTCTATTGTGCTTCATAATATGAAGTTTTTAGTTTTAACTGGGTTAATCCACCTTATCTTTCCTAATTGTTTAGAGAATCAGGATTCTCTCAGATCAATCGTAATTTTTAAAATTAATTCTGAGAAGTGTGTAGCATTTGCCAACTTCTGGGTCCGGATGTCAATAGAAATTTTACTAATCGCCTAGGCTTAAAACACAGCAATTCTTTTCTGAGTAAATATCAAGGCTAATGAGACCATCTAATTTCATTTCACCCTGCGGCATCTACAATCACATTCACCATAAAATATTCAACTTTGTGTGCAACACAGAGATAAGGAGTTATTGTAATCTTATTGTTACCTGGTCCATGATTTGAAAGGATGTAAAGATATCTAATGTGCTTGTAAAAATAATTTGTACAAATCTAATTCCTTTTTTTATAACTTCTAACTTTCTTGTGGTTTTCCTAAATTTTCAACTGATCAAACTTAATACTTTCCAAATACTGACAGATTAAAACTTTTGCAATGAAGAATATATTACTGGAGAGCTGTCAATGATTTAAACATTCAAGTGAATACAAAGCTGTTTAATGACATTTCCTATTGAGAGATACTGTGGTGACAAATGTTCTCAGGCAAAGGAAGGATGGAAGGAGGTGCTGTGACAGAGTTTATCTGCTGTCAAGCTGCCAGTTTGACAACTGTCAGGTGAAATGTTTACAAGAACAGCTGTTAACTGACTGTCAGATCTCACACGATACTGCTACAGAAATACAACACCCATCTTCTCCTCCCCCTGCTTCTCTCCTTGCTAAAACACCTGGTGGATTTCGAGTTTTTGTTTTGAAGAATGCAACAAAACAATAACATAGTAATTGTTGTCTATCTATCATATGTTAGTGTCGTGAGATGATAACACATTGTATAAGACTATGTGTAGTTCAAATACCATGAGAACAGGGGGTGAGCTGGTGTAGTAGAGTGCAGGATTCGGTCCTCAAGGTCTCGATTTTGAATCCTGCCAATGACGAATTTGATCTTGGATTAGTTAATGGGTCATATGACACAAGTCTAATAACTCTTTGACTAACTAACAGGGCTGACGATAGGTTTTCAATTTGGCAGTCTTGGTAATAAGAATGTTAGGTTATTAATTTAACCGTGTTGGTATTTGCGTTTCAGGTTAAGCAAGGAGCAGAGAACATGATCCAGAGTTTAACCAGTGGACATACTCGGGACAAGAAGCTGCTGGCAGAGGCACAACAGATGTTGGCTGACTCTAGGGCCAAGATAGAGTACCTGCGCATGAGGATCATGAAGGTAACTTAGAACTTACAGTTTTCATGTAAAGAGAATTGAGATAGTCATAGTGAACGAAGTAAAACTAATCTTCATGGGTAGGCTTCCACGTTCATTGATCGTGGATTCGAGGTCTTTGAGAGTCGACAAAAAAAAAAAAACTAAAAGTTTCTGTTAACTGACGTTTTTGTACGAGATCAACAAGTTGAATTCTGCACAGTTTTCGTAACAATTGCTTCCCTGTGCTTCACGAAGGAAAGTCTCTGCACTCTGCACTCTACATCTAGACCAAAACGTCGATTGATGAAAATGTCTAGTTGTTTTTGACACGGTCGACCCAAAGACCATATATCTACAATGTAAAATTCTCTTAATCTTTTCTTGCTATCTACATATGATAAAATCTTGATTATCCGACCTACACAGGCCGCGACAAAGTCCTATAGCACAGAAATCTACTGCTGCTCTGTAACAAAAATCCATGTGGTCCTAATGTTTGCCTCACTAAAATGTTATTTTAATCCATTCATTCATTCAAACCTAACCTAACCTAATACCGCCATTGTATTCATAGTAAACGTTCCTCTGTTTTTTAAACCTTTAATATTTTGCATTGAAACCACTTTTTCTGTTTTGAAGCCATCATTACAAGTAACATAAAAAATAATCGACAAATTAAACCTAAAGCAAAATATGAATTGTTGCAGAGACTTATGCAGGTGGATTAGACTAAGAGTTAAATTATCAGTTAAATCAGTGTTAAGTTTTTAATGAATCAAAATTTTTACAGGTTAAACAGAATCGAACACAGAAGTCGCAAGATCATTCCTCTAATGGTGACCTCTCCCATAAGGGTAAGTTGATAAATTGCATTTTTAGAGTTCTTTTATCTAGGCTCATTATTTTGGTGATTGAATTCCGTTATTAAAGATTGCCTAACAATGTATGGATTCAGTATTAGACTCAATTACAATTCTTTACCTTAAAATTAACATGAAAGTCTTTCCAACATTTTCTCTTCAACTGCCTGAATATAGTTAGGACCAGGTAAAAATATTACAGTATGTGAAACATTCCTTTTGTTAGTCTTATTTTTATAAAAAAAAGCTATGCTGTTAAATTTTTCAAAGCATAATCTTGCCAGGGTTACGTTGGTTATTTATAATGAGATTAGTTATACTTAAAGGAAAAACACTGTCACTTACCTGTGTGTACCTGAGTGGTACTCTTAATTTAGATCAGTAAATGACTTTTTGGCTAACAGCGAAGATTACGTTTTGGTTCATTAGTTGTTTGGTGACTCCCTCCAGGGTTATTCCTGTATGATTAATGGCAAACGTGTTGACGTCAATTAAAAACCCAATGGCAAAAGAATCTGTTCAATAAATAGTGAAGCTGTTCACAGTTTAGTTGTGTGCTAGCCATTGCCATGGTAAATAATGTCCTTGGTCATTCGGAATTTAATTATCGATTATGTTCTTAAATTACCGTAAGCTAATATCAGTTTAGTAATAGAGCTAACTTATATTCACTGTACATTTATCTTAGTTAAATTTATATTCACTGATTTATCTTCCACTCTGAATTGATGGCACAATTAACTGATGACCAATAATCATTTTGAAGTTAACATGTGTCGTCAGTTAACCTTTACAATGAATGGTCAAACTGATCTATCACCTGTTGACAATCACCTGGCCTTAGCGTTGACGAAATGTCGTATGTGAGACGTAAGAAGTAGCGGCTAAATATACCTCGGGTCGGTGCCAGTGTGGCCATTACCACACGGCCGTCCGCGCCGCGCTTCACATTCCATGAAAGCTCTTATCAAACGGATAATTGATAATAGGAGACGACAACATGACCACTGGGACTGGGCAGGTACTGGTTTGGTTTGCTGCTATTGCTTGCCGCTAACACTGCTCAGTCCCCCCTCCCCTACCACTGTCTTCGTAGACTGATCAATCAGCTGTGATAGGATGTGTGATTTAGTGAAATCTAGCCAAAATTTACATAGACAAATTTGTATAATTTTTAGCTTTTATTATGTTACAATTAAAAAAAAATATGAACAAAAAATGAAGTTTGATTTGCGGTTGTTCATAAAAACCAAGTACGGTATAAGTAGTTTCAGCCTAAACTTAAATTGAACTAGTTGTAATGTAGGCCTACCTAACTGATTTTGTTATCACAATCACAAATTGACTTAAAACAATCAATCTCGCCAACAATGAAAATGTACAGTAGTATCAAATGGATTGCATTAACGATTTTAGCCTTTAGTAAATACACTTACTACTGGTTGCAGCATTAAGTTTGACACTTTGCCAGGCTTATATGTAATTAAAAATTTGTATGCATCTGTAGGCCTATTTTCATGGTGTGCTAAAAAAAAAGAACAAAACTAGTAAAAACTATTAGTTTTATTTAAAAAAGAAAAAGCTAGCGTAATATTCTATTGGCTCATAAAACTTGCTTTCAAAATTCACAATGCTCTTATGCAAAGCAAATTCTTGTGTATTTTAAAATTTTATAGTTTTAATTTTTTAATTAATTAATTTTATTTCCACATAATCTGTTATTTTCATAATATAATCTAAAAGTTATGGAATCTGTGATGTAAAATCATGAGGTAATTGATTGTTCGATTTAATGGATTAACTTTAAGTATAGTAGCCATTTGTTGTTAGAGTGTTTTGTATTTTTAGGCTAAGTAAGTACTTCTAAAATAACTTTTCTTCAACATCTCAACATTGTTGTTATTTGAAACCTTAAAATTGGATGTTTCAACTTATTTCTGTTGTGATTCGTCTGGTCTAGAATTAGTAGTTGGCAAACCTCAAGGCTTAATTGTTGGCAGTGTATGAGGAATAGAGAACTGGAAGTATCATGTAGTAATAATTTTTTTTACAAGTGTAGTAATTTTTAACTTTTTTATAAATATTAACGCTTATAAATATTCATCAAGGTATTTCTAATTTCAATTTCAAAATGAGCAATATCAATTCAATTTTCAATGGGTGTACAGTAATCTGTACACCTTATCTGAGAAATTCAAGAATAGTTTATTTGAAATTGACTACGATATTAAGTAATAATGCATTTTAAATATGTTACTGTCAGGAATCCCATGCAGTTGAAACATTGTTAATGTCTTTTCTAAGTGTTTTTTAGATTCATCAACAATTTTAAAACTATGTCATGTTGTTCATTAACAAGCCTTCATTAAGTATCTATATCAGGTACATAATGTTTTTCTAACTTAGTTTCTATAGGCCTACAGCTATTTTACCATTACCACTTGCAAATAACTAACTTTGGGCCTAGATGTGAACATGATGATTCCTTAAACTCTGATAAGTTATAAGCTAGAGTCTCATACACGAGGTACAATAGAGTCCCGTGAGTCCGAAATGGTTGGGACCGGGCCCATTTCGGACTACCGAATATTTCGGGTTAAACTTTTTTTTATTTTTTTATTTTTTACATTACTTAAGTCTAGACCTAGTGGCTGGAGCATTATCACTAAGTAAAATCCATTTGTGATTTGGCGGGATTGGAACCCGGGACAAAAATAAAAAATGTTAATAACAAAAATGGTGAAATATTTACTAAAATACTCTACAAAAAATCTATCTTGCCCGGCCGATACAGAATACTTTGACGAGGTACAGCTAACTGTGTTAAAAATGAAATAATTTTTTTTTAAAACACTTTTTAAAAAATTTTAATTTAATTAATGAAAAAAAATTCAAAAGAAATATTTTTTGGTTTCAGATTAAAGGTACTTTCGGATTACCGAAGTTCGGATTATCGGGACTCCACTGTATATTTATTTGCAGTAGTGTTTCGTAGAAATCGCCTTCACATATTGTATATTACTAGGGCACCTGTTGCTTGAATTCGAGCAATTGCAAAGTATTGTAGGCGTATTTCAAAACCTATACCAGTCACAACTTCTGATGACTTAAAAGTGTCAACTCAAAGATAATGTAATCAATCACTCTACTCCAGTTATCGAAACTGGAAACGAACTCACTCTGAAAACGAACTAACTTTGAAAACGAACGCTCTTGTGTGTATCATGTGTTTACAATGAACAGATGTAATTAATACAAATTATTCGTCTGTTTAAGCAAACAAAATCTTTTCTGCATAAGAAATATATTGGGATTTTGATGGCCTGAGGACTTTTATTACAGGAATTGGTGAAAGGGGGTGACAAAAAAATACTTAATTTTGACACCTCGTTTGTAAAATTCCGTCCATTATTAACGGAGGAGTAGTGTTTCGTAGAAATCGCCTTCACGTATTATATAAAAGGATGATATTGTAATTCATTGCCATGTTTGATTTTTGTTGAAAACATCATACTTTATGGGGTTGATTAAGTGGGGTTGGACCTTATTCCATAAACAAGTAGCTACAGAATATCGTATGCTTTTTACTTACTGATGTTCTAAGTGAACTGCATCAACATAGCTATGACCTCTTCCTAAGGCAGGTGTTTGCCCCTTACCATAGTTCCAAGAGTGCTTTCTCGTTCATCATTCACAGTCATAAAGTAAATGATCTGCAGTCTCCTCAGACTGTCCCCACCTCCTGCATGCTATGTCTCCTGTGAATCGTCAATCAATGTGGTTTTTTGTTAGGTAACCATAACGTGTGATCATTCCTGTAATCTGAATGAGTTGCCTGTTGACTAGTGTCCTGTATAGACAATAATCTAAAATAAGGAGGAATTAGTGAGGTTTGTTGGTTAATGGTTACCTTGTTAGGCTGAAATATCAACCACATCCTCCTGTGTTCATACTGAGACCATATAATGAATATGATTGGAGAGAGTAGTAAATCAAAATGCATTCCTGTTTGGAGTGGCTGCTGTGGTGGGAGTAACCTTCATGGTCTTGTTGCAGATAAGGTGGAGAGCAGCTTGGAGCTCCCACTGGTGGAGATAGTGGAAGAGCTGCAACACAGGCTGAGGATAGAAGCTGCTGTGGTGGGAGTAACCTTCATAATCTTGTTGCAGATAAAGTGGAGAGCAGCTTGGAGCTCCCACTGGTGGAGATAGTGGAAGAGTTGCGACACAGGCTGAGGATAGAAGCTGCTGTGGTGGGAGTAACCTTCATGGTCTTGTTACAGATAAGGTGGAGAGCAACTTGGAGCTCCCACTGGAGGAGAGAGTGGAAGAGTTGCGACACAGGCTGAGGATAGAAGCTGCTGTGGTGGGAGTAACCTTCATGGTCTTGTTGCAGATAAAGTGGAGAGCAGCTTGGAGCTCCCACTGGTGGAGATAGTGGAAGAGTTGCGACACAGGCTGAGGATAGAAGCTGCTGTGGTGGGAGTAACCTTCATGGTCTTGTTGCAGATAAAGTGGAGAGCAGCTTGGAGCTCCCACTGGTGGAGATAGTGGAAGAGTTGCGACACAGGCTGAGGATAGAAGCTGCTGTGGTGGGAGTAACCTTCATGGTCTTGTTGCAGATAAAGTGGAGAGCAGCTTGGAGCTCCCACTGGTGGAGATAGTGGAAGAGTTGCGACACAGGCTGAGGATAGAAGCTGCTGTGGTGGGAGTAACCTTCATGGTCTTGTTACAGATAAGGTGGAGAGCAACTTGGAGCTCCCACTGGAGGAGAGAGTGGAAGAGTTGCGACACAGGCTGAGGATGGAAGCTGCTGTGGTGGGAGTAACCTTCATGGTCTTGTTGCAGATAAAGTGGAGAGCAGCTTGGAGCTCCCACTGGAGGAGAGAGTGGAAGAGTTGCGACACAGGCTGAGGATAGAAGCTGCTGTGGTGGAAGTAACCTTCACGGTCTTGTTGCAGATAAAGTGGAGAGCAGCTTGGAGCTCCCACTGGTGGAGATAGTGGAAGAGTTGCGACACAGGCTGAGGATAGAAGCTGCTGTGGTGGGAGTAACCTTCATGGTCTTGTTACAGATAAGGTGGAGAGCAACTTGGAGCTCCCACTGGAGGAGAGAGTGGAAGAGTTGCGACACAGGCTGAGGATAGAAGCTGCTGTGGTGGGAGTAACCTTCATGGTCTTGTTACAGATAAGGTGGAGAGCAACTTGGAGCTCCCACTGGAGGAGAGGGTGGAAGAGCTGCGACACAGGCTGAGGATAGAAGCTGCTGTGGTGGAAGTAACCTTCATGGTCTTTTTGCAGATAAGGTGGAGAGCAGCTTGGAGCTCCCACTGGAGGAGAGAGTGGAAGAGCTGCGACACAGGCTGAGGATAGAAGCTGCTGTGGTGGAAGTAACCTTCATGGTCTTTTTGCAGATAAGGTGGAGAGCAGCTTGGAGCTCCCACTGGTGGAGATAGTGGAAGAGCTGCGACACAGGCTGAGGATAGAAGCTGCTGTGGTGGGAGTAACCTTCATGGTCTTGTTGCAGATAAAGTGGAGAGCAGCTTGGAGCTCCCACTGGAGGAGAGAGTGGAAGAGTTGCGACACAGGCTGAGGATAGAAGCTGCTGTGGTGGGAGTAACCTTCATGGTCTTGTTACAGATAAGGTGGAGAGCAGCTTGGAGCTCCCACTGGAGGAGAGGGTGGAAGAATTGCGACACAGGCTGAGGATAGAAGCTGCTGTGGTGGGAGTAACCTTCATGGTCTGGTTACAGATAAGGTGGAGAGCAACTTGGAGCTCCCACTGGAGGAGAGGGTGGAAGAGTTGCGACACAGGCTGAGGATAGAAGCTGCTGTGGTTGATGTAACCTTCATGGTCTTGTTACAGATAAGGTGGAGAGCAACTTGGAGCTCCCACTGGTGGAGATAGTGGAAGAGCTGCGACACAGGCTGAGGATAGAAGCTGCTGTGGTGGAAGTAACCTTCATGGTCTGGTTACAGATAAGGTGGAGAGCAACTTGGAGCTCCCACTGGAGGAGAGAGTGGAAGAGTTGCGACACAGGCTGAGGATAGAAGCTGCTGTGGTGGGAGTAACCTTCATGGTCTTGTTACAGATAAGGTGGAGAGCAGCTTGGAGCTCCCACTGGAGGAGAGGGTGGAAGAATTGCGACACAGGCTGAGGATAGAAGCTGCTGTGGTTGATGTAACCTTCATGGTCTTGTTACAGATAAGGTGGAGAGCAACTTGGAGCTCCCACTGGAGGAGAGAGTGGAAGAGTTGCGACACAGGCTGAGGATAGAAGCTGCTGTGGTGGGAGTAACCTTCATGGTCTGGTTACAGATAAGGTGGAGAGCAACTTGGAGCTCCCACTGGAGGAGAGGGTGGAAGAGTTGCGACACAGGCTGAGGATAGAAGCTGCTGTGGTGGAAGTAACCTTCATGGTCTTGTTACAGATAAGGTGGAGAGCAACTTGGAGCTCCCACTGGAGGAGAGGGTGGAAGAGTTGCGACACAGGCTGAGGATAGAAGCTGCTGTGGTTGATGTAACCTTCATGGTCTTGTTACAGATAAGGTGGAGAGCAACTTGGAGCTCCCACTGGTGGAGATAGTGGAAGAGCTGCGACACAGGCTGAGGATAGAAGCTGCTGTGGTGGAAGTAACCTTCATGGTCTTGTTGCAGATAAGGTGGAGAGCAGCTTGGAGCTCCCACTGGTGGAGATAGTGGAAGAGCTGCGACACAGGCTGACGATAGAAGCTGCTGTGGTTGATGTAACCTTCATGGTCTTGTTACAGATAAGGTGGAGAGCAACTTGGAGCTCCCACTGGAGGAGAGGTTGGAAGAGTTGCGACACAGGCTGAGGATAGAAGCTGCTGTGGTGGGAGTAACCTTCATGGTCTTGTTACAGATAAGGTGGAGAGCAACTTGGAGCTCCCACTGGAGGAGAGAGTGGAAGAGTTGCGACACAGGCTGAGGATAGAAGCTGCTGTGGTTGATGTAACCTTCATGGTCTTGTTACAGATAAGGTGGAGAGCAACTTGGAGCTCCCACTGGAGGAGAGAGTGGAAGAGTTGCGACACAGGCTGAGGATAGAAGCTGCTGTGGTGGAAGTAACCTTTATGGTCTTGTTACAGATAAGGTGGAGAGCAACTTGGAGCTCCCACTGGAGGAGAGAGTGGAAGAGTTGCGACACAGGCTGAGGATAGAAGCTGCTGTGGTGGGAGTAACCTTCATGGTCTTGTTACAGATAAGGTGGAGAGCAACTTGGAGCTCCCACTGGAGGAGAGGGTGGAAGAGTTGCGACACAGGCTGAGGATAGAAGCTGCTGTGGTGGAAGGAGCCAAGAATGTCATCAGACTGCTGCAGAGCTCTAAAGTGGCTGACAAGAAAGCCCTACAAGAGGTAGGCCCTAGGTCCTTTGAAGTTTATAAAAACTAAAGCCTAAAATACTTACCGGGGTCTCTTCTTAAACTTCCATTCGCCTTTCAAAACAATTAATAAGACGAAAGTATAAAAGCATCTAAGTAATAAAGCGAAGGGTAAAGATGTTTCATTGAGCACAACAAGCTTGAGGATGTTTGTTAGGAAAGCAGGCTTACATGATTAGGATGGGAATGTTATTTGATTCAGTTGCAAATAATAATAATTCAATTACATTGTAATGCTGAGTGCTATTGATTTCAATTATCAATTATCAAATATCAATTATTTAAGATGGGGACGCCACTATGTGCATATTTTAACCCAAATATGAGTGTAGGATGAGTGGTGCGTTCTTGTAGTCTTGTTAGTGTCTAAGGCCGACATGTTCCTTAGACACAGTTAGTTTAGTTGATCAGTTTTAGTGTATACACACTCTATTAAATCATGTCTTCAAGTTAATACTATAGATTCAGCACCCCTGGCATTTGCCATTGGTTTCCTCATCTGCAAAATTTCATGCCAACAGGAAGTCTTAATTAGTTAGGTCTTATGTGGTTTTGGGCAATTACAGTTATTTATATACTCTTTTGGTCCCCTTACCTAGCTCTATTATTCTTGATTCACAGAGTATAAAAATGCAGGTTATTTGTAGACTATTAATGCTATTATTTGTGTTAGACTATTTACTCTCAATTAAATATAGCCTATCATGATAGTTATTTGTAGGTTGAAATATTACCTGTTGTTTCTTTTTTTGTGTTGGTTGGTTAGCCGATTGATTTATGTGTTTGCTATTTATTCTAGTTACACCTTTTTATGAGATTGACAGTCTCTTTAAACCTTGCATTTGTTGCTCTTGTGCTCTGAGCTTGTGTAAATAACGTTTAATGCCAAACAGAGGTGAGCTGGTTCAGTACAAGAATGGACTTAACTGATAATACCAGTAACATGAACCAATGATATTACTGCGTAATTGAATTTGTAGTGTGTGTTCCTGCTGTGTGATTTATTGACTCTCCTGTCCATAATAAGACACTTAATTGAAAGATATAAGCCTTTCCAAGGTTTAAACCAGACAATTGTCATGACTTAGGATTGTTGATCAAACATGCTAAAGAATCGATATTGAATGGTAAAAAAGCAGCATAAGGTCTCCTGTTGGTGTTTCCAGCAGACGATCGAGCATGCTCATGAACATGCTTGCCGCCACTGCACAGTATTCATGCTTCTCTCGCGCTATGACAGTCAAGTTGGGTTCAAAATGGATGCTAACGCTCTAACGCTATTTGCGGTGGTTTTGTTTGTTTTAAAGATGAGAAAAAACGCAACCCACAAAAAATATGGTGCAAGAATTAGCTTAAAAACAGGAACCAGTTCAGTCACATGTCGCTTTTAGCAGAACTAGCAGCAAACGAACCAAATGATTATAAAAATTACCTTAGGATGACTGAAAATTATTTTGAAGACATTCTCGGACGTATTTCTCATACGTGTGATATGTATGATCGCGAACATGCCGGTCGTCCCCATAGACGGGCAAGCATGTTCATGTTGGGGCTCGGGCTTTGCCGGGTCCGACGAGGCGAGCACTGAGCCCAACATGCTTGCCGGTACGAAGGCTCACAGACCCCATATACGGGTATTGCCAAAGCATAAAATATATGTTTTCCTAATAAATAAGTTTCAATGAATGAATTTTTTACCTATATTCTGAATCTGTACTAATCTAGAGTTTTTCCTTTATCTTAATATTTTAGATCAAACATTGTGTTTAATCATTTGACCGAATAATTTAGGAGAGAATATTCTGGCTTGATGGTAGAATGGAAAGCCAATGGGGTCGTTCACTCTTGTAATATTGCCAGTTACCTCAGTCTATGCAACTGTTTCAATCGATTGCCAATAAGTATCCTATTGTGGCTCAGTAACCTGCAATGGTTAATCCTAAATCCAAAAATAAATTATACTACCAATTTATAAACTTCTATTATAAAACATAGTTTGTTCCTTTACGATATAAACTGTAAATAACTCTTAGATTTAATACCTGAATCCCTCTACATTTGATTTTTTATTCAGCTTGTATTCTGTTTACCGTCATATACAAATTTAATAAGAGACATGATGGGTTCTCGATATTATTTAAGTTCATTCAATGAACTTTTAAACCTATTATAAGAACCTACTGATATTATTAACATTCTGTAACCGAATAAACTATAATCAGCTATTTGAATACTTCACACTGTTTTCAAATGTATTTAAGTACAGTATCTAAATTTGTACAGATTACCACAAAAACATGTCTTGTTATTTACACTAAAGTTATCTTTAAATTTATTCCAATTGTGTGTGACTGACTCAACTATGCTAGAGTTAGTGTAACAAATTCATTTGTGGTTTCTAAGAACACACACATTTTGCACCTATGCATACTGTTTGTTTTGTTCCAAGTTTCATGATTTATTAACCATTATCTAATTTTATTGCAATATATTTCACCAGTTACTTACAATAACATAAATGTTATATTCTCTTTTTTATATTTATTTTCAAATCAAACTAGCGTTTAATCTGAACTATATGTTTTAATCTATAAAAGTAACCAGAGACTCAATTAAAAAAATATTTACATGTTAGTAGCCTATTAATTGTAGTAAGAACTAGTTTTTCTTAAATCTCTTACAACATGCTCAAATCTACCTTAAGTTACATAATTGCGATCAGCAGGCAGTCTTCAATAAGTTATGTGTTTGTGACTATTTTGTTATTAACTTAGTACAGAATAGGTAATAAACTCAGTGACCCGACAGTTTATTAGTTTCGCAATATGGAATATTGATGGCTTGGTAATTATGAATGTAGTGCAGCGACAGTGTAGGAGTGGCTGAAAATAGCAAGGCTTGGCGCCTCTCCATCCCAGCTATCACTCTATTCCCGGACGTAGTTCTACACCTTGCCCGCACATACCACTCTTGTTTTCCGTAAAAAAATGTGATCGGTAGACCGAGAGTGTGGTAGGATCAGCAAATGTTGCCGTCGAAGGATCATTCCGTTCGTTCTCCTCGGTCTCGTCCACCGTGTTGACTGGCCTCGTGCCAGCAGATGGAACCGTTCTGTGCGTTCTCATTTGCTCTACTCTCTCGGCCGATGGTTTTGCAACAAGTCTTTCCTACCAGTGTTAAAATGTTACAATGTTTTCAGTGATAACCGTTTGTGCATTCCAACTGTGTTGAAAATGTAGTGACAGATAAGTTAAATACGTTCTCTAATCGTTACTTAATTAGTATTGATGAGGTTAGAAAATGGTAAGGTGATGAAACTAGTGTCCTGATTTTGCAATGGAGCCTTTACTATTTATTAATGAGTGTAGAAAACGACTTATGACTAAATTGGTATCTAAAAATCATTCAAAAGAAATAACTGTCTTGCCAATTGACACATTTTAGCTACGTAAAATTAGTTTAATATTTTCAAGATTGAAATGTAAAGACAAATTGGTCATAAAAAATGGCAGGTAGGCCAGCAGACATTGAGCAGGAATGGTCGGTTCACGCCAAGTTGACATTTTCACATGGAGGAACACACTTGGAAGCCAACATCCCTCCTGTAGCCCCGCGTCCCGCAGGTCATCCGTGCTATGGGTTCCAACGGGGAAACATTGTGTTCACAACAAAACCTCCAGGCGACAACAGCAGTCTACCTGTCCGCAGGACGCCACAACCTTACGGACGCAGATGTATGAGTACTTGTAACATAACACTGGACCCTGCGCAGCCGAGTGTCCCTGCACGATGTCACCACACAGTGACCTTGTCCTGCGAACCACGCGACGAGTGCGATGTGTGCAGTGGTGGACGACACAGCCCGTCGCGCCGCGCACACACGTTCACCTCACACTTCTGCACTCGAGTGCCTGACAAGACTATGGGAACCAAGACTGTGGCTTCGCAGACTTCTCAAATATTCTCCCCACCTTTACTGGTGTCGGATGAAGAAAAGAACAGGCTCAAGGTTCCAGGAGTTGAGACACCACCGGGAAAAACACAAAGGGTAAGTGATCCTTTTTAAAAATTAATTTCATGCTACTGCCAATAATTCTGTAGATCGACTAACTAGACATTTTTAGTAAACCATATGTGCTAATGATGTAGTCAATGGCTGCAATGCAAAGTACTTCAAGATTGCTTGAATTTTTAATTAAGTAGCAAGACCTAATCAAGTAACTTGCTATTATTATATTAATTAATGTTTACAAGTGTACTCTCACACACACTTGTAATAACCAATGCAAACCATCCCCACCAAAGATAGTTTGTGGATTGTTCTTAGTAATATCAATAACGCTTAAGAGAAAGAGCCAAGTAAAATTAAAAAAAAAATTGGAGGAAAATTTCAAATTAAGCACAACAGTTTTTACCCTGGGATGTCATGTTTTTACTGGTTGCTTTGACACTTTTGGTAAAAAAAAACAAAACAAGTTGCATGTCAGTTCAGCATTTAAAAGTTAATATAACTCAGCTACAGTATTAAGAAAAAAAATTAAATTTATGATATTCCTTTAAATTAAATCAAACAACTAGACTACTGTTTTCAAACCTCAAATAAAACCCTAACTATTATATTGTTTAGTATTTCCAAAATAACCAGAAATACAACGACCATAAACAACAACAAACCTTTATCAAATAGATCTAAGAAGTATCTTAAAGGCTATAATGACTAATCCTATTTTGTATTTCAGAAGCTGTCAAGATCACCAGCAAGACTCAGAGGGAAGTCTCCTCTTATGAACAAACAGAACAGCACAAGCGATGGCAAGAAGAAACAACCACGCACTGTCCACATAGATGTCTACTGTACAGGATCTGAAGCCAGTAGCTCGGAGTGTGAGGAGCTGTCAGAGTCATCTAGACAGACAGTGTTTGAGTCTGAGGATGTGAGGGTGGTGCACACCAGGGAGGAGGAGCGGCTGCCGCAAGCTTTGTGTAGACAGAAGCGACGTACGCTCAGTGAAGCGTCCAGTGCTCACAGCTGTCTGGGTGGCATGGAGGCCAGTGATACCAACATCAGCTCCTTGTATCCGTCACAACGTAGCTCCTTTGCATCCGGAGTCAGCTTGCAGAGCACGGATAGTCTGCAGACAGACAGCAGCCTTATGACACGAGTCACCTCTAGTTGTGCACTGTTCAGCGACGAAATCATCACTTCGTGGAAAGATACGAGTGACATTGACTCCATCCGTCAAAGTGACATCAGTCTCGATAGAACAGATAGCTTTGAATATGCAGACAGTGTGGATCGTCTAAGGATCATGGAGAAGGAGAGGGCTTGGGCGAACAATCAAGAGAAAAATTGGAGATCAAACGAAGTGGAGAGGAAACATAATGTTCAGCAAAGGAGGTACCAACAGTACATTGAGAGGAAAGGATCTCCGTTCCCTCACTGGCAGGCGGACGAAGATGAGGATAGCAGTATTAGCAGCTCTGAGGGTTCAAACTCAGAAGAGTCAGAGATGGCGTGGAGCTTTGGAAACTTGGATAAGTTTAAACCGATCAAGAGAGAAGACACAGTGAGAAGAGCCAAGGACACAATGTACCCTAAAAGAGAAGAGGAGTTGAAGAAACGAGCTAGTAAAATACTCGATTCTGGAAGCTTAAGCGATTCAGCTGCTCCATCTCCTGTACAGAAAGGCTTTATGAGACAGACCATCGGACCTTTTGGAGTCAAAGAAGCATCACCTCCAAAACAAAAGCTGGAATCTACTGTGACAACACCTTTTACTGCCATACCGGGCAAGAAAACTGACCAGCTATCAAAGGCTGAAAAATTTGGTACAATATTAGGCACTTTACGGAAACCCGGGCATCATATTGGGCCTTCCAAAAATCCTGATTGTTCTTGCTACAATTGTCGTCAGTACTTTGAAGAGCTTGGATATCGGAATAGAACGAGATCTTTAGGGGATATGCCTAGCAAGAAGGATAAAGATAAATGGAAAGCGACTTTAGATACATTGAAACAAAACAAGTTGAAAGAAGATTCTGGCAGTGGAGAGTGGGATATGGGAACTGAAGTATGAAGACTTAAAACACATTTTTTTCAAAACAGCTTTACTAGCTTTTTTGTACACGTTCTTGATAAAAGACTGCTACGTTTAAAAAGACTTATTTTTTTAGAGACTTTAAATAAAATATTATTCTGGTAAGGTTTTGATTACAATGCTTAATTTTTTTTACAACATTAGCAATAATGAAGTATATTTTAAAGCTTTATTTACTTAATCAAATTTTTTTCATTTACTTTTGAAAAATAGCTATTTAAATTTAAATGGTTTAACTCTTGAATATTAACCTCATGTCACCGTTTAATGTATCAGGAGTACAGAAAAACATTTGTTGATGAATTTTTGCTGGTACTGTATATTTCTTCTTGTATTGGTACTCTCTCAAAAAATGATCGATCAATTTTATAAAGACAAGACACCATTTCAGAAAACTGTAAACAGTGTAAACCAATCACTCATTTGTTACAATTTGGTAACATTATTATCACTCTATTCTTACATTTGCTAAACAGTATTGTATTTGTCCCTACCTATCTCTGAGGTGTGTGTTTAAAAAAGTCACACTGATTTCTGTAAAACTAAATTTGTATTGTAGTTTTGTCGTTTAAAGTCATAAAAATCTTTAAGAAAAGTGCCTAGACTAGTCACCCATAAGCATTTTTGTACTTTTATATTTTTTTGAATTGCTCAAACCTATAAAGTGCTCAAACAAGTTGTTATACTCTAAAGATTGTTGGTTGGCATGTTTGAGAGTATTAATGTAAACAAGTCAATAACAACCCTACACTACTCTTTAATTAAATTCTATATTAAAGCGTAAATGGATCTACCCTTGTACATTTCTTCAATTATTAGTAAATAATAACTTGGAATATTTTTAAGTTTCATTCTATGCTATTGCTTTTATTACTCTTTTGTACTTTAAAGTAAACGTTGCTTAGTTATGTAAAATGTACAGTCACAAATTACAGGATTTTGGCACATCAACTCAAATCAATAATAGTTTGATGACATTATTTAGTAGCCTATCTTTACAAATAACAGTTTATAATTGCACATTTATGAATGTGGGGCGTTAGTGTGACATAGTTATTCTTGAGTTGAAATTGAAAATACTTATTTGAAAGAAAACCATAAAATAAAAGACTAAAATGTTCACTTTGTTTCAAAAAATGTTTTATGAGACTATGAGAAATTCCATATGAGAAATTATTATTTTGTATTTTGTCAGACAATAAAAATTAACTACATTAATCATATAACCAAGAAGCAATCCTGTATTCACTTAAAAAAATAAAAATTGATTGTGATTAATCTTTTATTGACATTCCAAAAGGTAAAGCAGTTACAAACTTACACCTGCTTTTAATAATAGCACATATTCAATGCAAAATTTGATACAATAATTCTGAAACATGGTTCAAAGTGCTATATTGAACAAAGTTGAATTCTTGCTATAATTTTCTACAATGTGCTGGTTGTAATTCAGTTTCACGTCTAAAAAGATAATTTCTGTCAATGTTACCTTTAATGTAATGTTACCTTATTACCTATAATAATCTATAAATTTGCTTTGAAAGAAGATATATTTTATATCTGAAATCTTATTTTGATCTTATTATGTTTTTTAACTCTCAACCATACTTTAGTTTAATTTACTTTACGTTTATTTATTTTCTTAGAAACCTAGGTATACCATTATATTTTAAAGTTGAATTGTAATTAATACTCTTCTTGATGCTTTTAAAACTATTTAGCATTTCTATGTTGTCTTATAAATAAAGTTTTAATGTTGTTTTCACTTGTCTTTATCCTTTTTCTTTATACCCTACACAATGTGTTATTGGTTACCCTGGAAGCCTCATAACGGTTCATTAAGTACAACATTTATTTTAACCTTACCCCAAGATTTTCTTTTCTTTAATATCATATTTAGGAACATCACCGTTCGATACAAAATTGCTTATAATGTCACGAGATATATTTATTTTGCTTGTAACTATAACAGTGCAAATATAATATTTCATGTTTTAGAATGGTTCCAGCTAGTGTAAATTATATAAGATGTTCCAAGGCTGTTACTGTCTTAAAATAGTTTCTGTTACTGAAGTTGTGCCAAGAAGCAAGCTGGTTTTGTGGCCTCAGCCAACCAGTTTCATTTTGACTGTGTAATCATCTTCAGTGCGTAATTTAGAATTATAATTAGATTATAGGTGGATTATGGTTTAAACTGGAAATAAATCTTTGATTCTTGAGTTAAATTTCATATTAAAAATTAATTGGGTCTACCTTTGTTAATTTCTTAAATTACTAGTAAAGGGTAATTTGGATTATTTTAAAGTTTCATTCTTTGCTACTGCTTCAACTACTCTTTCCTAGTTTAATGTGTGACAGTGCAATTTCATCAAGGCGCAAAATTACACTAATTGGGCTCAGATAGCTCAATTTTGAATAAGAAAGTTCAGGGTTTGTAATGATAACTGTAGTTTGAATTAATATTTGTGCTCAGAGGTTTTCGGTAAATAGCATCATCTTTCAATAATGATACATTTATAATAGCCCATTTTAAATTACGGTTAACAAACCAATAAATTTAGAAATATTGATTTTAACTCTTAGGGTGGTGACACGCAGGTTCAAAGTAACCAAAATTATGAACTTCCGCAGAGGAACCATTATTACCTTGTGGTCGGAGGAGTAAAACTAAAAATCTTTAACATAAGGGTAACCGTAGTGTTAAATGTACGGTAAATGTTAAACAGAATAACCTGTAGAATAAAATCCACAAAATTTAAAGTAAACTAATCAGATATTCGACTTCCAGGGACTATTCCGCCCTGGTCTAACGTTCCTCAACGTTTACGAGTCCAGGGTCTATTTTACCCTGACCTAAGCCTAGCGTTAGAATATACTCTGTTACCCAAGGTTGTTCCATTCTGTGCAATGAAGTACATTGTACAGCTCGTGACAAATAAGCTGACACTTGGCTTAGCGCGGGGGCAGTGTTGGCGGGGGGTGAGTGGAAGTAAGGAGAAGAATCGACTGCTGCCAGTGCTGCCTCACAGGGTTGACTCCCCGTGTTTCACGTACTGAGCGCCTTCAGGAGGGTTGACGCATGACGGCATATGATGTTTTTGAACTAGATCCTGGTAACGATCAGTCAAATGCTAGCTTAGGTGTCACAAGCAGTACATTGCCTATGTGGTAAAAATGCCACTGTTTTGACAGTTTTCAAAAATGGTTATTTGATTTAATACAAGTTTAAAATGTTGGTCCAAAGACAAATTACTGTCTAAAGTCAACCAAAGGAACCTTACTGCTTCTTTTATTTCAATTGCTTGGTTTTTACTTCAATACCAGGATTGGAAATTATTTTGTTTTATTTTGAATGGGACATATTTAGGTTAACTTTCATTTAGTTTTAAATAATAATCATAAAAAAATCCTTAACACAAGCTGTGGATAACAACTCTTCATCTTCTGTAGTTTTCCCAGATACTTTTAGGTATGAGTCATCTGCATAAAGATACAAACCTGTATGGAGAAAAAATAGAACGTTTAAATTTTGTTCAGTAACAAATGAAAAGCAAAGGTCCCAGGACCGATCCTTGAGGAACACCTGATTTGATTGTGCCCTAAAAATTGCTTGCAATTATTTAAGATAAATGCCCTATATATTATTTTTCTCACAGCTAAACCGTAAGTATGTGTATATGAGTCTGTGGCTCATGATCTGGCTGATTTTCAGCAGTGTTCTATCTATACATAATATCTTGAGTTATCTCAACGGAAGGGTAAATCTGGACAATTTCAGAGCCAACTATTCTGAGAAAGAGTAGTATTCTTCTGTTTCCATTCAGTCTTCTGTTGACTAAAATGATTGTATCTGTGGTTGCAGGCACAAGCGTCGCTGTCCGAATCTTCTCGCAAGCTTGATCTGCTGCGGTGTTCGCTGGAGCTACGCCACAAGGAGTTGCCGCCGGACTCAGCTGCGGCACAGCAACTCAAGGCAGAGATACAGAGTGTCCAGGCTACCAGCCCTGGGCCTGTCACCTACACTAGTCTGCAGCCCTTCCCTCGTCATGACGCCGCCAAGCCTGCCTCCAGCAACCCTTCTAGCCTCAGCCGCACAGCTGCTGTCACTGGCAAGCTGGAAGTCAGGTGAGACCTCCCACCAGGTTTCTGAAACTATAAAGGAAATGCTTGAGCGTAGTAATCTTTCTTTAGTGATTAAATTCAACCCCCTGTGACCATACCCTTCTGGTCCGTTTGGTAGTTAAAAGTCAGTGATGTACCTTTGAGGTAAACATTTTTACTATTCATAGGAGACATCCCATTCCCATAATATCAAAACTAGCAACCCTAGATTTTGTAGAAGTCAACTTCAGGATTCAACAGTTAAAAGTACTTTTCACATTGGCAATCCAGTGGTGTCGGCAGATATATTTCACCTTCTTAAAAGACCTACTCAACCGAGTAGTTAAAGTGTTGATAAATAAAGATATGTGTAACTATATCTATGTCTTTACAACTAAGAACCAGTACAGTTCTTTTACAATAGTTTTGTATTCTATTATTCATGGTGTTTGTTGTAAAGGCTGATGGGGTGCCAGGACCTGTTGGAGGATGTGCCCGGAAGGTCCAGGAGAGAGAAGGACAACTCGTCCAGTCCAGGAGATCTGAGGTCCTTTGTCAAAGGAGTGACAGGCCGCAGTTCCAGTAAGAGCTACAGCGTCAAGGATGAAACTAGCAGTCAGTAGTTAAACACTACCTTGCATGCTGTCAAACTACAAGTTTGGTTGTTAAAGCATGCTAATTTATGGTGAAAAGTGAAATCAGTAAATTAACCAGGTTTTGATGGCATAACTGATTACTCACAGTTTTGAGGAGTTTTTTTTTTATAGAAGAATGCTAAAGAGTCCATATATGCATGTTAAATCACACTATTGATGAGTTTAGTTGGATTAAAGAATAGGAAAGAGTTCATTTCTCTATGTTACACCATTATTTGCAGTTTTAAGAATGCTTGTTGATTAGAAGAATGAGAAAGAAAAGAGTCCATCCCTGCATGCTACTTAAACTATCATAGTTTAAGGACTTGCATGTTACTTGCATCTGCATGTTAATTAGTTGTTATTTTCCCCAATACTTTAATTCTACAAAGAATATACCACACCACTATAGTCAATCCTTGATAAACTTTCACCTTTTTAGCTGCCTAACTCCAATTTAAGTCATCATGTATGTACTCTTACTTTGTCTTTGTGCTCTGCTAATAGCATTGTTCTAGGGTATCTATCACGATGTTATGACTTTGTGAACTATATAAAAAGAACAGATTAAAGGTTTCACAATCAAGGAATCAAGGTTATTCCTACACCTGGTTTATTGGGATGATAGTGTCATAATACAATTAAAAGTTATTGTGTAATGTTTATTGGAAATATAATACAATACAAGGTTTACTGGATCGTAGTATAGTTATGCTGTATTGTTCCAGATGAGATCATGGCAGTTATCAAGTTGGACAACCAGACAGTGGCCCAGACTAGCTGGCGTCCCTGCTCACAACAGGCTTGGGACCAGAGGTATGCATAAAATACTATCAATGTTTATTTGACTATACTTTTCATTATTTTTCTGTGATATCCAACCTTCTTGACTACCTGAGCTTGACTAATTGAGATTTAGCTAGTTGTGATTTTATTATATTTTGAATACTTTGCTCAGTTTGTTCATTGTTCGTAGGTTCTCAATAGAACTAGACAAGTCGCGAGAGCTAGAGATAGGAGTGTTCTGGAGAGACTGGCGCTCGCTGTGTGCCATCAAGTTCCTGAGATTGGAGGAGTTCATAGACGACATCCGACATGGCATGGCTCTGCAGCTGGAACCCCAGGGTCTTCTGTTTGCTGAGGTACTGTAGTGGTTCCTAAAACTATGGATGTATCATTTGACTTTCTATCATCATATGTTTGAATTATCCGCTTAATTCAAAGCCATAGAAATAATTAATAAATTAGTCCATGCTTGTAAAAGTATGGACAAAACTTCAAACAAATTCCAGTTTTAATGAAAGTTTAGTTTCAATTACTTGTTCTTTGCTATGAGATTCAATATCGCTGAACTACTAAAGGTTTTAACTACAAAGCGGTTAATTTCCAAGGTTATATTATGGCATGATAATAAATGATGATATCAGAGTTGGATACTGGATCACTTGAAAATATTAATGGTAAATGGACTTTCTTAGGCCAATATACAGTAATCCAGATGCTAATCCACAATGTGATAATCAAATTTCTATTGGAAGCCCATTAGCACAAAGGCTGTTAAATATCGCAAGACTAACTTTCTATAGTTTATTGTCAACCATTTTAGTAGTATAGCTTTTTTAGGGGAAATAAAACTAAGAAATACCTTTGACACCATAATTGATCCAAACCTTTCTCCTGATGATGTCAGAATAATATTTGTCCTAATAATAGTTCTTATACAAAGCGAGTAGAAAGAATTTATTTGGTTTCCAGATTAAATTTTTGAATCCGATGATCTCACGTAAACCCAAGCTGCAAAGGCAGAGAAAGATCTTCAAGCAGCAGGTGAAGAACTTCCCACGAGCCAAGCAGATGAATATCAATGTTGCCACATGGGGCAGACTGCTGAAGAGGTCGTCGCCCTCCATACAGAACTCTAGGACACACTCAGAGAGTCCACCTTCTACTGGTGGGTTTACCTGTTTACCTAGATTCTGAGTGCAGCTTCTTGTCAAGTGGTTGTCCAGAATGATTTTGCCATTTTAAAAAGATCAATTGCAGCAACTTTCTTGTTGGTGGATGTTTCTACTTTTAAGAGCATCAATACATATTCTTGATGCTATAATTTCAAGAGCCGTTCCTTGCTCTAGATGAGCTAACCCCCTAAGTATTGGCGATGCAACTTCTGGAGTTGCGTCGCAGTTTGGTTCCGGTAGATTTTGTTTTCTAGAAACCATTAGGTTCCTAAGAGTAAACTGCTGAGTGATGCTGAAGGTGGAGCCTAGGCAGAGCCCCCTATGCTCGGGCAAGGCTAGTTGTTTTACACAGCATTGTCTGTTGCAGGGAGTGAGGTGGAAGACAAGCCAGAAGCCCCAGGTGAGGCCCCAGACCCGGGTGTGGCAGGGCTGAGTGGTGCCAGGCCGCTGGGTATGGGTGTAGCAGTGCTGCCCCCGCTGCCCCCAGACATGCCTTTCCTCCCCTCCGCTGTGGCTAAGAAGCGACCTCCTACCTTGCCTACTGTACCTCCGCCACCACCGCCACCTCCACCTAGACTTGACCAGGAGGTAATTGATGGAATGGTAACGCACTTTTCATTTTCTTTTTCACCTATCCTTCTTGATTGCCTGGCTAGAAGAATACAATTTAAATTGCAATATCAAGTCTGTGAAGATGTTTTTTCAAAGGCAGGCTTAAATGTTTAACGAAACTGGTTTAACAAGCACGACTAAGGCAAAAGATATATATTTCAAATTATTTTTAGATTCCTAATTTGTTTTAAGATTACCCTGTATCATAGCTGTCATATAGATAATGATGTAAACATCGATTTAACCTACTGTAAAATCTCACTTACATTAAAACAAATAACGTTAATTTATATCAATAGAAAATTCATGGTTTATTTGCATAAAATGTTTTCATTAAAATTACATTAGCCATAAAAAAAATAATATTAGGTTTGGAATGATGGTGATAGTAACTTTCTGAAGGTGTATCTGTAATATTCAAATTCGAATGTATAGATAGTATTTCGTTTTATTTTCTCATACTTTTTATCAATCGGGCTCCAAACCTAATGGCTCGGAGATTATTTAGTATTTGACTTCAAGTCAGGCAATCAATTAAACCTTTCATGTTTACTTGCTCACATCAGGTTTGAAATCCTTTCCATGCCTTTGCTTTCATTCTGTTGGCTGTGATTCATTCCTTGCTGTCTTTGGCTGTTGGAAAATCTATTTGTTCACTCTCATAATACTTACATTTTATTTATTATCACTTTAACCAACAAAATATATCCATTCATTTTTACATCATTCTGTTCATAAATTATCCTAGTTCACTTTATCATAAATCTCATCTCATAAATTTGTCATTATAGTTTTACCACATATTTGAAAGGTTACAATATTTGTTTTACAATATTTCTGAAATTTATTATCAAAACATTATAATAAGTTTTTATATAAATTCTTTTTCAACATGGCTCAATATGCTGAAAGAAGTTTTCAATTAAAACTAGTCCATAAACAAGCTTATGAACAAAATTAACAACCATAATTTATTTGGTTTAACAGTTTGTTTTAAACTTACAGAAAGTTATCTTTTGTACATATACATATCATTCAATCTGGTATGAAACTGCAGTATATGTATACATTTCAATTCAAATTCTTTTAATTTATCAACTGAAGGTGTTTTTGTCCCAATGCCTTTTTTTCCCAAAACTGTTCATGTTAGTTCATGGTAATTTCCAGAATATTTTTAACATTTTTGTTTTTGTAAATAATGAAACATGTAGAATATTCTGGAGGACTGTAAATATTTTAAGACTATTTTAAGGTACGGAAACATCACAGAATAATTGCTCTTAATGTCCCTGCTATTGCAAGGAAATTAAGTTGACACAAACATGAAAATAGTCACATTTATTTTTTATCCAACCGAGGCTTGTGACTTCTTTTAACTTTGCCTTAACCCGCCCATAATGGCCTTAGAGGCCTGTGTGTGCATTTTTTCAAGCAAAGCAAATTTTGAGCCGCGAATAAATTGCTTTATTTGATTTATAGTCTGTTGTGATACCAACTCGACAAAAACTTTGCGATTGTCATCAGATTTTAATAGTTAAAATACTGTAAAAAACGTGTTTATAGCAAAGCAAACGTAGTTCTGGAATTGGCATGGAATAAAAGTAACAAAGAAAATATATCAATCTTATAGAAGGCTTAGATATTGACACATCCTTAATATAATTACATTCAAAGAACTCATTTAAAGACAAACTGTGTCATCCCAGATTGTTTGATATTGTACATACTTAGATGGTAGGTGGTGATTGTTACAATACCGCACTGTTGTTGTTGTTGCTGCATGTCGCACTCGCAATGTCCACAGTTGCAGAGTGCGCTGAGAGAGTTTGACTTCCTTCAGGAGGAGGAGAGAGGGGGAGTGAGACCACTTCCTCACCCCCCTGCACCCCCTACCCAGCCTCCAACTCCTTCTCCGCTTATAGAGTTCCCCCAGGAAGAGGTATCTCCTTGCATGCTGTACAGTGTACAGTACCTTGTAAATAAGTAATTAGGGGTGTGCAGCAAGTTAAACTGTAGCATGATACTTGTAAACTCTTTGACTATGGATAGAGCTAGACATTCTATTTCATTGTTAAAGTTGTAGGACTAGACATATAGCCAGTCTCGAACCAACAATGTCTGTATTATCAGCCTTTGGCTTTTGATAGAGTAGACATCCTAGCCCCATGTTACGGTTCTACCCAGTTTCAGGATAAAAAAAAAAACATTGTTCAATTAATCCATTGATAGCTGATGAAAATTAAATTACTAATCTCTTTCCAATACGCCCATTTTTTAACCAAGCCAAATTGAAAAGACTATTGCACCCTAAGGCTATTGCATCTATTATTTCTCATAAACTATCACAGTAATTAAAATCAAGGGAGAAAATAGAATGACCGTAGCACACTCAGTAATTATATTCTTTTGGAATGCACACGAGCAATTGTTTTGAGGCGACTATTTCATCGGCCGATCTGTGGATCATGTATTAGAATGGAAGCGTGCACACAGGCGATCGAGAACTGCGCCGATTTTAAAATCTGGGTTTTGCTGCAGATTCGTAGGCGAGGCGATTGTCGCCCCGAAATCTGTAACGTACAGGTTGTTATCAGTCCGTGCACACGGTCGACTAAAAAATCGGCCAGTCGCTTGTTGTTCTCCACAGGAGTCAGTGAACTTCAGTGTGAGTTGTATTGTTTTTTTGCTAAAAAAGGCCACAGATGTTATAATAAAAACTGAAACTTTCAACAGACATTCTATAGTAATTAAAAAACTTTTTACTGTCATCATGTAAAGTGTATAGTTTATGAAACTGTTGATTTAAAAGTCTCTGACTTACTATCGGATGAACCCAATATTTAAGTTGTCTTATTTTTTATTTGATCTAATTAGAAGAGCACAAACACAGGTAAATTCAACAAAGTCCATTTTAGGATAGCTTGAACGCACTCAACAAAATCCATTTCTCGACTAAAAAATCGCCACATGTGCGCCTAGACATAATAGTCCAGGACCTGACTAGGGTTCTGTGTGCATGTCGTGTATAGTGAATTTTACTTTTGCATTTCAATATAGGTGTCTTAGGAAGTGTTTTCCACTCGGGTGTCAAGTTTGCACCTGGTACGTTTTCGAGCTATGACGTCATCAAGATGGCGGCTCAGCAATTTTTGAATGCGTATATTTTGCGAACCGTTTAATGGATCAGGATGATTTATTTTTTGTTTGAAAGATATTTTTACACCCTATCTTTCTTGTATTTACACTTTTGTTGTAAACTTAATATTTATCTCACTATATTAAAAAACGTGTTTTTTATTATTATTATATTTATTGTTTTGCTTATAACTTCGGGTGCAGACGTGACACCCGAGTTGAAAACCCTTATTTAGACACGTACATCAACATTGAATGGCGAAACTGTTTTTATAAGACTTGCGAACTGCCCTAGAGGCCGGACTAATAGGCGTTTTTGCGCCAAAATTGGTGTTTTTATGAGATTTATCTAGTTTCTTGACGTAATCTTTTGAGTAAAACATATCGAATTTGGTATTTTTGTAAAGATTTTTAAATGTTCTACAACTTTTTTCATTGGTGGTTTTTTATAAATTGTATCAATAAAACGTTACAAACAAAAATAACTCAAAAATATTTAAAAATACAGGTTTTTGCAAAATTACGAAGAATGTACTAAACATACAACAAATGTGTAAATGTAAAACAGGTAGCATTTAAAATTATCTTTCAAACAAAAAAACATTCATTCCGATCCGACAAATAGTTTGCGAAATATACGATTTAAAAAAATCAATGGCCGCCATTTTGATGACGTCATAGCTCAAAAACGTACCAGGTGCGAACTTGACACCCGAGTGGAAAAAACTTCCTAAGACACCTATATTGAAATGCAAAAGTAAAATTCACTATACACGACATGCACACAGAACCCTAGTCAGGTCCTGGACTATAAAGCAAGGGCGATTTATTTTTGGCCGATTTTTTATCGGCCGATCAAAAAATCGACCGTGTGCAGGCCTTACAGAAATTTTATAAAATAAAAATATTTTATTTTTTTGTATCGGGACAGTCCAAACTTTAAAATTTGCTACTGGTACTAGGGTTGCTGAATGTTAAACATTTTGTTTTTGTTGCATTAGTTTAATGTATTATTTGTTTCTTATATCTAATTACTGATAAAAATCTATTTTTTTATTTCTTCAGATTTAACTTGCACACCCCTTGTTATTCTAATGTAGTGTTTCTTTATGAATTACTTTCCACTGACTGGTGTATATAAATGTTTTGTCTAAAAGTGATAACACTATTTAAATAATAATTTTCCTGGTTAAATTAAACTATAGCCTACTTCCTAAGGGTTTTCACTGGTATGTTGGAAATAACAAATAACTAAATGACTTCTGTAACTGTTTTGAAACTGGTGAAAACTTAATATAACTTCCCTACTAAGGTGTATGTTTGATTGATTATTTAATTTTTCTATGTAAATAATCTTAACTAAGAATTTTTCTTGTAAATACGCACCTAGTTGGCATCCGCATCTCATTGATTGATGATTGATTAATTTATAAATCCAACTAATATCTATATTAAAAAATGTCGGTTTTTCTTTTCCGAGTCCGTCCGCCTCTTCTACCCGACCGAGTTTCATGATTTTGGTCTTAAATTAAAGGTATGCACGCGTAGATTTGCCATCAAGCATCGGCATTCATTTATCTGACGTATTACTCGAGTTATGCACAAACGTAATTTGCTCCCTGTACATTTCTTATGGGAGATAAATTTGGTTTTTCTTTTCCGAGTCCGTTCGGCTATTCTACCCGACCGATTTTCATAATTTTGGTCTTAAATTAAAGGTATGCATGTGTAGATTTGCCATCAAGCATCAAAATTCATTTATTTACAGTATTACTTGACCAAAAAACATAAATTTGATTTTTTTTAAATTGTTACTCCAATTGAAGATATATTTCCTCCAGTTATAAATTATAATTACGTAATCCTATATGTTTTGGTCTAAGAACCTTCAGTTAAATACCAGCTTTCATTTGAGCCCTTGATTATTAAGATCGGACGTACCTGAAGCGCGCTGCTGAATTCCAAACAATAAAAAATGTAATTATTTTGGGATTTACCGACGACCAGTGAGTTCGTTTGGCTCTTTTACCCGGCCGATTTTAATGATTGAGGTCTCAAATTGAAGGAATGCACGCACATATTTGTCATCAAGCTCAAGCATCGACATATATTTATCTATAATCCCACTCTGCTTATATGTAAACTAAATTTGTTCCCCATGTATTTCTTATGGGAGTTAAATTTGGCTTTTCTTTGCCGAGTTCGATTGGCTCTTCTACCCGACCGATTTTCATGATTTAGGTCTCAAATTGAAGGTATGCACGCACGGATTTCACATCAAGCATCGGCATATATTTATATATAATCCCAGTTGGCTTATACGTAAACGAAATTTGCTACCCATGCATTTATTATGGGATTTAAATTTGGTTTTTCTTTTCCGAGTTCGTTTGGCTCTTCTACCCGACCGATTTTCATTATTTAGGTCATAAATTGAAGTCATGCACGTAAAGATTTCACATCAAACATCGACATATATTAACCTACTGTATTATTTTACCAAAAACTTTCAAGCAAACGCAAAAAGAACAACCAATATAAAAATTATTACTGTAAGGTTTTTCTATGACAAAAAATCAATATCTCCAGTATTGTTCATGTTTTTTAAAAATATGTTTTAGACTCAAAATAATCAGTAAATTGTAAGCTTTGATTTGAGCTATTGATCGTGTGTGAATCAGTATCAAGATACTGTATTACTCAATCAAAAATCTTAAATTTTATTCTTTCTCGAATACTATATTTATTTTAACGCTGCGGAGCAGCATGGGTCCTCTAGTTTAACCTAAATTATCTTGTCTCCTTAGACTCCATAATATGTAGTTACAAGATTACGAGACAATTTGAATGAAGTTGGAATGAATTAAACTTATAATAGGAAGATCAAAACTATATTTTTAGGCAAGTTTGAAAATTTTAAAATATGCCTCTTCTAATATCTCCAAAAATATTTTCCCATCAAATTTAGGTAGCCTATACATAATATTTTAACCTTACTAACATATACAGACACCATTTTGAATTAACCACCTTTGTCCTTACAAACTTAGAGGACGACTTTCCGCCCTGAATTTGAAAAGTAATAGGTTTAGTTAGCCTTTGCTAGAAAAAAATAATGTTTCCGTTCCCACCTTTATACAGTAATAAAATAATTTTGTATTTGCTGATGTTATGTTTGTATTGCATGCTAAATTGACACAAGAAAATAAGGCTAAGGCCGGACAGTACAGCCATAGGTTACCAAAGAGAGAGTCTTCTGTAATTTATAAAAAAATTACCCTTGTTATCTTTGCTCTGTACTTCTCTAAGATCTCATACTCTTTATTTATTGAGGGGTAACCTTCAGATGGAGGTAACTTTAAGATGAATGGGTTTGTGGGTCCATCACAGTTTTTACTGGCTTTGACATACTGTCCCCTTATTTTTTAAGAAAATGTACTACAGGCTGTTGATGGGCTATGTTGTACGTAATGTTATAGCCTGAGTACCCTCGTCCGCCAGCTAGAGCCCTAGAGTATAGAGACTCAGCGTACGAGTCTCGTAGACATTCTCAATTCTCTGGTATGACCATGGACAACTTCAGGCTGCTCAGTGTCTTGGGCCGTGGACACTTTGGCAAGGTAAGCTCCATCGCCCATTGACACAAAACTTTCCTTAATTCACCCGGGTGTCAACAGGCAATAAATATCCACAAACTTCTGAAAAGTCCCAAATATTTCCGTTGGGTCCTAGATGTTTCCAATCCACACAACTGTGGATTGAAACTACAATATATCTATAATTTTTATAACTTATTACTGCACTGTTAATGTTCTAATTTTCACTACAGTAAGTAATAAATGGTCAGAAACATAAAAATCTAATGCTTATCTCTTAAGTTCTTTTGATTATAGTAAGTGCATAAGTTAAGTTTAATTAATCTCAATCTTTTTGGAACCTGAAACAATGTTTTGTGACAAAAGATTGAACTTATCTCAGCTAATATGGATTACATTACTTTTCTATATCTTACTATTATTAGAACTTGTACTTTCTAAAGCTCCTTTTATCATCTAAACTTTGTTGTTTTGGCCTCGACATAGTCCAAAAAAATTACGTAAGTAAGTTCAGGGTTGACATCATGATCTTGTCAACAGTAGCTTAGTTTGATCAGTTTTATAGTTTGTAATTAGTAGAGTTTAAAATCATATTAATTTACGGTACCTATATAAAAAAATGAGTACTGATGAAATTTCTAACGTATACACATGTACAACTAACTGATCAAAAAAACATTTAACATTTGCCATCATTATTGCTGTGTAAACATTTTCTACAACAACATTTATCTGTTCCTAGGTGATCCTATCACAGTACCGCAACACCGGGGAGTATTTCGCCATCAAGGCACTCAAGAAGGGTGACATAATCGCTCGTGACGAGGTGGAGTCTCTGCTATCAGAGAAGAGAATATTTGAGGTGGCAAACACTATGAGGCACCCCTTCCTGGTCAACTTGTTTGCCTGCTTCCAGACGGAGGTACGCTTGTCGCTCCTTAATTTGTTGAGATTTTTAAGTAAATTCCTGTTGGATACTTTTGCAAATCAGATAAATAACATAATAATGAATGGAAATAAGATACTTCTTAGTCAGATAATACCTGGCCTGGAAATATAGTCAGGACATATATATATACTGTTTGGTGCATGTAAATGAACCTGTTTGAGCTCAATTGAAGTAAATCAAAGCTATACCCAAGCTGTCATTTTTTTTATGAATTTACATTGTTAGCTTTCTTGATATTTTATCTGCTACCACAGTGGGCGACGGTAAACTAAAATTAAACATAATCCTTAGGCCTTCTTGTTTCCAAACCGAGAAAGCGTAAAATTGAAGAACATGAGCAAACAAGAATAGGAATAATTTATTCCATTGATCTTTTTACAAAGAAATAGGACATGTCATATTCATTGCAAAATAATCATGTACAACTTTACATTTTACACCAAATATTTTGGCTTGTACTGTTTTTTTCAATATTGTAAAAGTATTTTTTCATCTTTGGTTGGTAATAAAAATAATGGTAAACAATAATCATGGTGTTTTCCAGGGCCACGTATGTTTTGTGATGGAGTATGCGGCCGGTGGTGATCTGATGATGCACATACACGCTGACGTGTTCACAGAGCCTCGTGCTGTGTTCTACGCAGCCTGTGTTGTCTTGGGACTGCAATATCTGCATGAGAGCAAGATCATTTACAGGTACACTAGTTCACTTCGTAACCCATGTTACAAAATTAAGATAGTTGTCTAACTAAACATAAGTTTAGCTAAGGTTAAAACCTAAAAAGCCTACAATTAGCTTGATTTTACTAAAAAAATACAGTTAACACCCTTCAACACATTTTATTGTTAAAACAGGGATGATCCTGTCCATTCATTCCATATTCATTTCTATTTTTGATTCTTCAATCATTGAAGACTAGTGAAGTGATAAGATCGAATTGAGGAATCGTTGATTCTTGATACTTTGTAGTTTTGAATTTTATACCTAGTCTAAAACTTCAGCATCGTGAGTTTTTGATCCTGCAAATCTTTTTCACTAAACGTGAAAATTTTATTCATCAATTTAACCTAAACATCTTTAGGCTAACTGGTTTGGGGTGAAAAATAGTAATAACAATATTATCTCCACAGAGATCTCAAGTTGGACAACCTGCTGCTGGACACCGAGGGTTATGTGAAGATCGCTGACTTTGGACTTTGTAAGGAAGGGATGGGATTTGGAGATCGTACAGGCACATTCTGTGGCACACCTGAGTTCCTGGCACCCGAGGTGCTCACAGAGACATCCTACACCCGAGCCGTGGACTGGTGGGGTCTGGGCGTGCTGATATTTGAGATGCTTGTGGGAGAGGTTTGTTGGCTTCTGGTCTAGTCAGTTGATGTATTTTTACACCTTCATAAAATGTTTCACGTGCATTTTGTTCATCACAAAAGAGAATAAGATGTGTTCTAGATTTGTAGTAATTATAGAAAACTTGGAATTAAGTATTTTTGTAGGGATAACAGGCTCACCTAAAATGTGGATTAGTTTCATCATGGCACAAGAAAAGCTACTTCTTTACCAATATACACAATTGTTTGGATTTTGCACTGTAACTTTACACAGCATTTTTTTCAAGGTTGTTTTTTGTGCAAGGGTTTATGTCAAAAATCTATACAAAAAACAAAGAGGAGAGATGGATCTTTCTTTCTTACTTAAGTTTTCCTCAAAATTGCCGTCAGTTGCTGTGAAATATTGTAGTTTATTATATGGTAAAGTTTTTGTGTTACACGTGCCATGACAAACCATAACAAATTCTAGTTTATTTGTTATAACCTAGACTATTGTCCCTTCAATTTCAAATGTGAATTGATGGAACAATTGTCCAATGGTTGGTAGCTTCACTACATGCAGCAAGTGTGTTTGTTACAGGGTAAATGAAACCTGATGCTTTATTTTAATTTAGGAACACTAGTAACTAACACCATGTTAACTTTTGTTTTCCAGTCACCGTTTCCTGGAGATGATGAGGAGGAAGTATTTGATTCTATAGTCAATGATGAGGTTCGCTACCCAAGATTCCTGTCACTAGAGGCCATTGCTATAATGAGAAGGGTAAGTGCTGTTGCATACATTATGTAAACACATAGACTACTTTCTTTAATTCTTGGGGAAAGGGATGTGTTCGTTCAATATCAGTAAACAATTGCTACTCTAGTGAGTTTGGTGTATGAGGAACCGTTTTAATCTCATCCACAAAGGTTTTAAGGGTTTGAACCGCTTTTCCAAAAAGTGTTTAGTAACCTTTCTTAGCAGAGGTCACTAGCATTAAATCTAACAATGAAATTAAAAATATAGTCAAGTCTTAAAATAGCATTTTATGAGGTAAACAAAGTAAACATTTTCTTCGCAGTCCTTATTATCTTTTAAGAATTATATCAAACACCTTTGATTTGATGACACTCCTTTATGTTTCACATTGTGTTAGACTTGGTCTGGTTCACGGTTTGCTCTATGATTTGTTCACAGCTGCTGCGTAAGAACCCTGAGCGAAGGCTTGGCTCCAGTGAGAGAGATGCAGAGGATGTCAAGAAGCAAGCGTTCTTCCGCAGCATACCCTGGGAAGACTTGCTGCTGCGTCGATTCAAACCTCCCTTCGTGCCAACTGTGGTATGTTGTCATGTACTTTGCAGCCCTTGGGAGTTTCTGTGTTTAGAAATTTGTTATCTTGAAAAAGAGTCTACAGTGTACTTTGGAAAAGAAGAGGATTTTTTGAAAAGAGATAGTGATAAGTTACCTGAGAAAGTTATGAGTTTAGTGGTTAATTGTGTATGTTTTAACCCTGGACTCTAACTTTCTCTGGTAATTTAACTGAACTCTTTCCATAAAACAAATCACAGTCAGCAACTTTGCTTTATTTAAATTATAACCTTAAGATAAGGCTAATTCAATGACCTTTTTCTGAATTAAATGGTAAATATTTTTATTTAAAAAAAGTTTAACTGAAATAAAGCTGTTGTCTTTAGTAAGTAACAAGTAAACATCATTCATTCTATGAGAGCAATACTGTGGTAAAGTTTTGCAGTAATATTTTTTACACAGAGATGCATCTAGTGATATTTCAGATTTAAAATAGTTTTCAGCCCTTGAAAAGGAAATTAAGTGTAATCTTTATTTCAAAAGTGTATATCAATAATAAATCCTCTAAAGTGAAGATAATTTAGTGAAGTTTACCGGGCTATCTTCTTTATATGTTAAGAGCAGACCATTGCATTTTTAATACCCTCTTGCCTATCAACCAGTTGTATCTATTTTGCCCAAAACAATGTGAAAGGTCTAAGACTAACATTGTATGTTGGTCACACAGCATGGCGTGGAAGACGTGAGTAACTTTGATGAAGAGTTTACGTCAGAACTGCCTCAGCTGACTCCTCCCAAGGACCCACGACCTCTCACTGACGATGAGCAGACACTCTTCAGAGACTTCACTTACATGGCTGACTGGTGTTGATGTGGAAATTGGGTAAATTGGTAATTTTCATCTTTGGTTCACTAACAATTTGTGTTTCAAAGTTATAAGGATATTAATTAGACGCCTGGCAATGAATACAAACCCTTTAAGAAGCACAATGCCTTTGTTAAAAATTCAGTCTTGGAAAATTTCAATTTCGTACAGTTCACGCGGCGGCAGCTAGGTAGTATGTCTAGTGCGCGGCCAAGTCAGCTGACTGAGTGAGAGAGAGTGAGACAAAGAATCGGCTTAGAGAGAGAGAGACAGAGACAGAGTAGCACGGCCGCCGTGCGAGCGATCCTAGCGGAGGCCACACGAAGCTCATTTTAGCGATAAAATTCCATTCTGAATATTATCCATAACATGTAGCTTCTTAAAGGGTTTGTATTCCTTGCGCTGGGTCATCTACCTAAAGCATTGTGTAGAATTTCAGATTAGGTGGTTGAGTAGTTATCATTCAAGTATGACAGATTTATCTAGTTTTCTTATGTTATTGGTTTAATACCATCTTGTAAATGATTAAAGTTTGAGTGTGGATGTATCAGATGTGTTTGAATACATATTTTATAATATTTGCATAAAAATAGTAAATTTCTTACAAATTATAACCTAGTTGTACTCTCATATTTCTAGCTGTGGTCTAATTGTATGGTGGATGATACAATCATCTTTTTTCTTCTAGTCTTCAAGATGAAACGTCTACATGCAAGATTTGACCTTTTTCATTTAGAGTTGATATGAGTTAGGGTCTCAAAGTGTTTTGTACTTAGTTAAATATTCATTATTTTGTGCCAACCCCATAAATAGAGGCTCTATTGAATAATAAATAGTCTATAAACAGCATTTTATTTTACTACTTGGGCTGCAGCGTTAGGGTGTGATAATATGAAACTTATTATTAATATGCAAGAAATTATGTAGTTGGGCTTTTTTATGCACCAATCTTCTTAATAGTTTTCTAGTTGACATACAGTAGAACCCCGGTTAACCGAATTGGGGTTAACCGAAACAGTTCCATAAAATAATACAGGTATAAAATATGCTTTAGTAACTTCAGTGGTTTAGTTTAAAGTATTTTCTAAACCATAGTAACATTTTTGTAGCTGAAATAAAACATTGTATTATATAAACTTTGTTTTAAATTAGTTTTTCCTACACACCGTGGTAATACATAGGCTATTTTTAGCATATGACGGGTTAACCAAAATATTGGTTATCCGAAACGGCTCTCCCTGCCTTATTTCGGTTAACCAGGGTTCTACTGCATCTACATGTTGATTAAACCTCTGTAAGTTAAATGTATTAAGTGCAAATATAATTTAAAATATGCAAACTAATTTGTTTACTCTTATTTTTCAGGTGACCTGAGCTCAATTTGAAACCCGGTTTTTGACTATCTTTTTCACGGCAATGAAAGTTTTATATTTATGAGCTGCCTTATACTTGATATATTTACTATTTTACTATTATTGGATAAATCACTGATATATCATTAAACCTGTTATAGTAAAATAGGTGCTGTTGTGAAGTTTTGATCAAACAATCAAATTTTGTTTAACTCTGTTTACATATAAATATACCTTTGATATTTTGTAAGTTAATTAAATTGTTTCAATTCCTATAATTTAGTTGTATTGTAGTTTTTTATTGAGCAAACACATATCATTGATCTAACATTTTATATAAAATAAAAGTGGTTCAAATGATCCGAAACAGCTATTAATAATATTTTAGAGCATTAAGGGCAGGTTTATTTCTACTTATTTTTATAAAATTCTCCAGTATTTGTCATTTTTTAACTCAACATTTTACAATGCATGTAATTTTCTTAAAGTCAATAGACAAGCTCAACATTTTCAGTTAGGTGCTGGTTTTTGGGAACCAGCCAACAAAGAAATTGCACATAAATCCCCTCCACCTCGAACAATTGTTGAGGTCTGCATCCCAGCTATTTGGTTGTAACAGTTTTTATTGATCGATAGTCGTAATCAAGTTGTACATTTTCAGTTGTAAATATCGTGTAAATACGGTCTATAACACAATACCAAGGCAGCTAGCTGAGTGAGACGTGCCTTTATGAGGGACTGGGTGATTTATAAAGTTGTATATCATTCTTATATTTGATGTAGCTGATCAATTACATCAGTTTTGTATTGAATAGTTTTATATTGATTATCATCACACCCAGTGCAGTGTTGTTTACTTTCCCGTTCGTTCCCAGCATTCTTATTATCCTACATAAAATCAAAGGTTTAAGAGGTGGCTAGTCATGTCTTGTGTTTATAAGTGAGTTTGACAGGCAAACTGGAGTATCCCGTATAAACTCATCGAAACCTTATTCTAAAACATTGATAAAGAATTGGCTTTTACATGTGAAAAATAATAGCAAAACTGATTCAGTCAATGCGAGGCAGATTGTGAGAGAATGTTTTCAAGAATGTTTCTAGCCACCTCTTATGAAACTTGAAAACACACAAGCATACAAGTAATAAAGCATATTTTAACTTTATCATGAGTATTATTTTTATTTATGTATGTTTAAACACTTTTTCATATTTTACATGGGTGTTATTTAACAGCTAAGTTTTTCTCATTTACAACAACAAAAAGTTTAAATCAAATTAAAGAGTGATGCTTATGAATTTATTTTACAATTGTGCAGAATTTTACAACTTTATTTCAGCTGCTTCTTTTCAGAGTGAAGTTTATACACATAAGATCGTGTATTTTTGCTACTCAAACAAAGATATTTTGCTGATATTCAGGCTACTAGGTGTTAATATATAAAGAATGTCTATATAATTGATATATAAAAGCTATATTCTACTCAAACTTTTCATCTAAGTTCTGAGATTTTAAACACCTAATCTAGCAATATACTTTGCCTTTTAGATACATTAATGCTTTTCATTAAAATCCAAAATGCATTTTATATATTTATTATTTACCCTAGGAATTATTGACAATAAACACATTGTGAAAAGTGATACGACTGCCATTTTTGGTAGTTGTGCTATGAAACGTTGTGGTTTTTATATTCAACAGTTTGCTCAAAGAATTGAAATAATTTAAATCGAGGTTTTTAAACTGATCACACATATGATGACTCTGAACAACCTGTACGTGAAAGTAACATGATTACGAATACCACTATAAGTATTATTATGTATTTTAAACAGTGTTTTATATGAATAGAGGAGATATTTAAATGGATTTTAAAAGATTGTATCAATATAGTATTGCTTATTTTTATAGATCCTGTTTTAATGGTTGTTTTATTTGAAATAATTAATTTGTCACTGAACGACTGATTGAGGCTGCTTTTTTGAAGTATTTTCACAAACGATAATGATTCTAAAGCATGTTAATTTATGATAAATCACAGATTTATAGCATTTATGTGCATGTTATTAGATATATAAATATATATTTGGATATTTTATTTTTATTGCAACTGTTACGTTTGAGATTTTGAAGCTTGCAGGTCTGTATAACAAAACCTGACACTTTTGTCGGTTGTTTTTAAAGTTTTGTAAAATGTTCAAGAACTAATTTTATATTAGCTTTAGCTAGTGATGTCTATGCGAATGTTTTGTTTCTATTCTCACTGCTTATTGTGAATATGTATAAATAAATGTAAAAATATTCTAACCTGGTTTTGAAATTGCCTTAGCTAACATTAACTATTAAGATGCTCATTATGACTAGCTTGATAGTCATATAATCAATTTTAAATCAATATTTCTCTAGGTATTTTACTATTTTAAGGTCTTTAAATTTAAACCTGTTTGAGTTAACAATTTTTAACTTTTTATTTGTAAAATATCGGATGACCTTTTGCTTTGTAATTTACACTGTATGATAATATGAATCTAAAAATGTTGTAATAATAAGCAATTTAAAATTAACTGTCGGCTTGTTTACCTTTCCATAACATAATAAATTATGGTTTAACATACAATCGGAAAGGTGTGAATGATCATCAATTATTTATAGATGATTATCAATTGTTATGTACTCTACTCTTTAAAAAATCACAATTTTTATGTAATCATTAAGCACATTTTAAACTTAAGCTGGCTTGTGGACTGTTTCTAACATGCTTAAAATTTTGTATTATCTTGAAATATACAGTCAGTCCTTGAATTATAATAAAACTCTTTTAAGGAGGCGTTTTGTTCTCCACATTAAACTAAGAGAGGTTCTATATTTACTGCACCTTTTTTCAATGTATCTCACACATTGTATTACCTATCAAATGTATACCAAAAGTTATTGGTTATGTATATGGTCCTAAAAATGCCAGTAAAAGTGCCACACAAAAAAAATATTGATAAGAAGAAATATTATTCTACCTTTTTTTATGATAGCATATCATTGTAATTGTTATAAAGCAAAAGGTCTCTCTAAATATGACGGTTTTACTCTGGAGAAATGAGGACAACGTAGTTCTATATTTTAAAATTCCGCCTTATTTTTTTCCATGCCTGTAAGGGAATAATATATCTTACATGGTTAATAAATGCATCCAAAATGTTTATTTATAAGCTATTTATCAAGCTCTTATGATTGTATATTACCTGTTTTATAATGGTTTTTATTTCAGTTTCCTATAAAGGCACTAAAATCTTCCCAGACTGTTAAATGGGTTTTAACTTAAATGTTAGTTCCTCATTTCTACAGAGCCCACTTCCTATGAATCACACATTGCTCATAACTACCATATGCCAAATTAATACCTAAACAGTTGTATGTGAACTGGTGATATTGACTGCCAGTAGGCAAGATCAAGTTTTTGGTCTATTTTAATGTTATTATTACTGTTACATTCACTAGAAATAAATCACATTTTAGTCTATTGTGTGTGTTTTATTTTATCCTTGTTACATACCTTTTTGTTAAGTAATTTGGCTTTTTTACAATCAATTTAGAAGAATTTCAATGTTGATTTCATATTAAATTGTGGTGTTGATTGTTCCATGGTGCAAATTTAATCATAATGGAATCAAGTTTCTATTTGTTTATACTTTGTTAAGTACAAAATGAAATCAGGGTGGCTAGTGACCTGGAAAACCTGGAAATGTCAGGGAATATTAAATATCTGGAAAAGTCATGGAAAAGTCAGGGAATTTTGTCATAAGTCAGAGAAAATTGTAAAATGTTCAACATAATTTTAATAATTGTTAGGAAAGATCGAGAGTATGTGTGCCGTGTGGGTAAAAACTAAGAAATATGTCTTTACAAATAAATTTTGTGTTTTTGTACAAATTAAATTTTATTCTAAACTGCGTATCATCTTAACTCAGTTTAATTTTATTAAGGTAAGTTGCAAAGTTTGAATATAAGCTAGCCTGTATCTATAGATTTTATGTATGTTTTTCATGTAAACAAACATAAGATATTCTTCAGATAAAGATTAGTCCTTTTGAAGAATTAGTTAGGTAGTATTAAAATTGTAATTTTGAATTTGTCGATCAGGGAAAGTTTAAAAAAATCATGGAATTGTCAAAGACGGAAAAGTCAAGGAATTTTTCAATGTGATTTCACTAGCCACCCTGGAAATACTCTGAAGCTTTTCATTCAGCGTCTCATTTGGTCATGTGCGCATATTTATGCAGTACTTCAAAGCTGTGCTTAACCCTTTGAGGACAGGGTAGCTAAAAACATTTAAACTATGATTTTTTCCCATGTTTTATTACAAATTAGGGCTGTCTAGAGTCAAAAATATTTTTTTCAAATTTTTTTAATTTTTACATATATGTTTTTTAAACATGGTACTTTTAAGTACCGTTGGTCCTCTGCGCCATTTTCATAGATTATATACCTGGTACTTAAAAGTACCGTCAGACCTCAGCAGCAAAGTATATGGGTTCCTGAAATAGTACCAAAACATTTTACAAGCATAATAATATTTAATTAATTACCGAGTTATGAGCCAAGTACATACATTTAAATACAAATTTTGAAAAAGTGGAATTATATTACTGAAGGGTTGTTGATAATTGAATTTAATCTACATTTACTCCACGAAACTCAGCAAAACAGTTCTTTTTGTTGTTCAAACAAAGGATAATTTGCAGTGATTTGATTGCACTTGCTGTATAGCCGAGACTGAATTTTCCGTTTTGCACAGACTTCTCATCTTTCTCTCCAAAAATACAGAGGTAATTTTGTACAGCCTTCCCTAGGCTATGTAAGGTCCGATTACTATTGGGATCAGGCCTAAGTATAATAACCAGATAATCAGCCCAACCTAACTCTGCAGAGCGCTGTATGAATGTGGCTTCTGTATTGTTTGAGTTGCAAAACAAAATTTGACCAAGTAAAAGGTTACAAACTTAGTATCTGAGAAGTGTTTGCTTACATTCATTTACATCATATATTGGAATTGTCGTTGTATAATCTCTCTTCTTCCATTTGTAATCAGGAACATATTTCTTCTTTTTAGAACAGTCCTCTTTTTTGCTCTTTATTTTTTTCCTGCCTTCTTTACTTTAGGTTTGACTTTATACTCACATCAACTTTCTTTACAGTTCTAACATTTTTTGTAGATTTGTTTTTAGTTTTTTCAGTGTCAATAGGCCTAGCTTCACTAGTTACACTGGTCTCAACAGTTACATTTCCACCACATTCTGGGGTTTCTTCAGCTAAAATAGGTTCAATAGGGCCTTTTTCATGAGCAATCTCACTTTCTAGACTTAGGCCTACCTTGACAATTTCTGTGTTGAATATTTCATTAAAGTTGTTAATAGTTTTGGTTTCATCACTGATTATTGCTACAATTTCTACAAGCTCATTAGGATTAGGCTCTAATAGTATGCATGGGCTGATTGCACATAGAGGAGTAGTAGAGACATCAATAAATCCTAAATCTATTTTACTATTTACATTATGGACAACATTTCTGAGTGAAATATCTGGTTCTTTTGAATCTAAATAATACTTTTCTCCTAACCTCACTTCCTCATTACTGTCATCATCGCCACTCTAATCAGAATTTTCAAAGTTTTCAGGTAGATATTTCAATAACAACTCGTCAATTTCTTGTAACTTTAGTTTTCTATCCATACTGACGGCACCACATAAACATAAAATCAACAAAAATGCACCACAAAACAAATGTGAACTGTTACTGTACTTTGACAAAACATAATATAATAATAATATACATTATAACATAATATAATATAATTATATATAATATATAATAACACAACACAATAAACTTGTTTACATAACATCATCAGCTGGACCATTGACATAGTCAATGGCAGGACGTAGATGTAGATGACTGACGGTACTAATAAGTACATCAGCTGGTTTCGTGATTTGGGCGTAGAAGGCTGGCGGTACTTATAAGTTCCAGACCATTATTAGGCTTAATTTCGTTATTCATGGGTTATTATTGGAAAATAACGATTGAATCATTAATATAAAACTATTGTTGAACCCTTTATCACAAAAATAGGACCCAGGGATAATAGGAATATGGATTTAAAAAATCATGAAATCATGACACGTATAATGTTGTTCAGTAGCATACACCAGTCAAGTAAGTGCTGCTTTCTGGTGAGAATATTTCAAACTACGTCCACTCCTGGTGTTTTGCAGAACTACAGTGGTACTCAAAAGTACCTCCAGGCCTCTACATGACTGTAAAACCACCGTTGCCTTGGAAATAGCTATTTATAATTGGTGGTACTTTAAAGTACCGTTGGTCCTCAAAGGGTTAAGTTTCTGTTTTACAATAACTAAAAGTATATATATATAGTGATACTGAATAACTTTCAAAGTAACGCTACTTGACAACTAAATATTTTTAGTCACAATTTTTAGAATCGTTCAATTCCGTTCCAACTTTGTTTCCTTGATGGTAATTAAAATTACATAAACATACTCAACTTGAATCCAAATCGTTCGAGCCGTTTCTAAATCTTATTTTCTATTATTTTAGGGGTTACAGTACTAAGAAAAAAACACCATTAAAAATCATTTCCAAAAAATAAAAATAAACGGTTAATTTAGTACCTACCTACTACTACCTACATAGGTACCAAATTTCATCAATATCGGGCCACAGGTGTGGTCTGTAGCTATGTACACATTCACACGCTCACACGAATGGACACACACACACAGGCATCACTTTGAAAACGATTTTTTGGGTTCAGAGGGGCCCAAAAATAATGACAATTTTGACAAAAACAATACCTCTCTCCATGTATGTACTATTTATAGGGGGAGAAGTAAAACTTGATATTCAGCTAGTCGTTCTTCGATATGTTTGAACTTGGTGTTGTTTACAATGAAATTTTGAATGATAAATTATAGTGTTTTTGATATTTTTCATAAAATTTACCATATTTTAATAATTTAAGTTATAATTATAATGATTTTGATACTTTGATGTGGATCAAATTAATTGCTTTTATAACGATATTTTTGAATTTGTTGTTGTTTAAAATAAAATTTTGAATGCTAAAATTAAATTATTTTTGACATTTTTCATAAAATTTACCATATTTTATTAATTTAAGTTATAAAGATTATAATGATTCCATTTTGATACTTCAAAGTGGATCAAATTAATTGTTTATGTAACATAAATATCTTAAATACCTTTACAATACATAAGTTTCATAAAGATTGGTTGGAAAAATTCAAAGACAAAAATTGTCATGCATAAAAACAAAATAGTGGATGTCTGGGTACCTTGATTTTCATTTTCGGACATATCTTGATATGCAGAAATACAGTTTATGAATTTATGTTCGGAAAAATTAAAATGGTATTTAAAACCCATAAATTAATTACATTAAACTTCTTTAAAGCCAACCTCTTTGAAATAATTTTAATAAGTAAAATAAATCTAATGTTACAATCACTTCTGAAAGCTACCACGAAGAAAAAATTAACTATAGGTTAGTTAAAGATTAAATAATGAATCTGAGTATATTTTAAATCACCAACGTTTGAGACTGGTTACTGGGGTTTCAGACAAATTTGCCCCCCCCCCCCACCTAGGGTAGAATGAATTCTCCAGTTTTATGTTTTGAGTTCTCCTAAGCGAGTATGATTTTTGTTTGGTGTAGATGTGTGAACCTACAGCCTACGGTGGGTTCTGAACCACGGGTCATAGTTTACAGTGTTTAAGGCAACACACACACACACACAATACACATATATTTGGTGATTGGCAGGATTTGATCCTGCACCTCCTGAACAAAAGGTCCATGTAACCACCAGACAGTGCCACCGGTCACTTTTACAGTTGGATTAATCTTACAACTGATCACTTCGTGGTTAAACACTATCAGTCTACATGCTGTCAATAAAATCAGTATTTAATAACTCCAAACTGAAAAATACCAAACAAGTCTTTTGCCTACCAACCCATTTCGTAGATCAAACCTCAACAAAATAAAGTATTACCTCACCTAGTCGCTTAGCGCAATCGACTCCATAAATCAGCTTCGGCATCATGCGACTTAAACACCCATCGCCATAGTTTTTATAGAATTGGCGGCAACGGGTAACCAAGGGGACGAATCAACAGAGGCTGAGGAATAAGCCGATAGTGATCAATAAAAAGTTGAGTCAGTCGCAGCCAGTCAGCGAGCCGACTCAGGTCGACGACTCAACGTCCGCTACAGCGAGGTACGTTGTCTAACTTCTACTAGTCTAGATAACATGTGGTTGGAAAATATACTAAGTTACTACACAGAGTTATTCGCTATTGTTCCTAACAATGCAAACTCATTAGGTACAAAAGTTACCTTCCAAACTGTTTTGTTTACGTTACAGCTGAGTAGTGAAACTGATGCGTGTCACGTTAGTGCTACATTGTTTCCATTGATT